GAGCTGAGCGGGTGGGAGGGGCGAGCGCATCCGAGGTGCCCGGGCAGAGGTCGCCCGCGCTGTCAGCGATAGCTGAGGGAAGCGCCTGAGCAGGGGTAGCATCTCCCGACGCTTGCGAAGAGAACGGCGGCTCTCCTCGTGCATGGCTTGTCCCAGGAATGCTGGTTGCTGGCCAGCCCTGGTGCGCAGCCGAAGGACGGGGGTAAAGCGCCAGAAGGGGCAGGGATTCTCGCACTGCTCGCGTTCTGGGGGCTGCTCTCCTCGGTTTGTTGCTAAAATTGCTTCCCTGTCCAGGCGGAGGCTTGTGTATGGATAAATGCTGGCAAAAACGGGCCGCTTCTGAATCGTTGCCTGAGTTGTGGGACAGGATTTGCATTTGGGATAGTGCCGGGACCTTGAAAAGAGTGCCCAAACTGGGCTTTGGGTAAAGCTGTAATTTAGGGAGAAAACGACCATTTTAATGTTGCCTGGAAGCTGAATGGGGGATATGCCTGCTGGGCAAATAACCCCCAAAGCAACAACCACCAAATAACCCAAGCACAACAAAACACAGACTTTTACTAATAAAGTGTAAGATACGTATCTTTGTTAGTGGTTGCATAAGCCAGGTTAGACTTTTCAAGGCAAACTGGAGGTGAAGCTGCAATATTCTCATGATTTCTCTCTGAATAACCTGAGCAGGGCTTTGCATTGACTGCTGGCCAGTGTCTGGATACCTTGCATTTCTAAAAATGCCTATTTATACCAAAATACTTGGTGATTTTTTTCTTCTCCCCCAGGGAATTAGGATATTGTCTGATGTTTATATAGACCTAAAAGAGCATTGACTATAAGTATCTTGAGATTCTATAAGAAAAAGACAGCTGCAAATCAGTGAGTTAAGATTATTGCAAGGGATTTGGGGTGTTTTGTTTGTTTGCTCTGAGTTTTAGTTTAATGAAATTTCTGGTAACATGACTGAGTTAATGTCGAATTATGATCAAAGTGGTCAGCTTTACTTACCACAGAAAAGTGCTATGTTGAGGAACTCAGCTGGTGCTATACTGCTGCTTTTTTTTCTTTCTTTCTTTTTCTGCTTGATACTATTTGATATTTAAGCAGTAATTTACTATGTGGTCTCTTCCAAGTGTGTGTGTATAGTTTATTCACAGGTGCTTAGAGGGTCTTTAATTTTTAATTCAAAGAAGTCAAAAGCTCTAAGTAATTTTTCCTTAAATAGGCTAGAAATGTATAAGCTAAAACTGCCTCTGAGGTTTGAATGTATTCCATGGCATATATAAAGATTTTTAAGCCATTTACTAATCAAGATCAAAAATGAGCTGGTGTATTTTTTTTTCAGCCTTTGAAAATTTAACTGATGTCTATCTCCTGGACTTGACAGATGTTTCCAGTTTCTCACTGCTTCTTCTCCTCCTAGTTTTTCCCAGCAGTTTCCATTTAATTTAACAAGACTCTGTCAGGTCACTGCTGTTGATTAGCACAGGGCAATTAAACTGTTCTGATAATTCCATCTGGCCCTTGGAAAAGCTGGCAGTACTTTCAGTCATGGGCACGGCAATAGCTCTGAGCAGGGGGATTCCAAGGTCAAAACTGGGTAGTAATAGTGGGTGAGAAGCAGGTGAAAGACTATTTATAAAGTTTTCTTATCAAGATACAGTCATTACATCTGTAAAACTTTCCCTCCTTACTGATTTGATTGATTTGTTTTCAATTTGTCTGAAGATAAGCTCTATCAAATATTTCCTGTCTGTGATTGTGTCTTTTGATAGAAAATCCTGTTGATAACAGTAAAAAAGTGGCAATTTAAGGGATTTAAGGCTTTTCTTAGCATCCTGAGGAAAAACAAAACAATGAGTTTCTTTTCCTTCTATTTGTTTTCTACAGATGTCTCACTTTACAAGTGAAGATGAAGCTCTATTACAATCTATGCTTAGACAGTTGCTGCTGAGTGTGAAGGAAAAAATCACTGGAGCCCCATCAGTAGAATGTGCAGAAGAAATTCTCCTGCATTTGGAGGAAACGGATGAGAATTTTCACAAGTAAAGATAATTTTTTTTTGCTATTTTTAATCTTTGGAAGAAGTTGGTATGTGTTAAGCTGTATTATTCCTGGGAAATGTCTACACTTTATATTGCTTTGTAAATGTGTGTATACTTGTACATTTATAGATATTTCTGCCACTAATCAACTCTCAGATGCTGCTAATTTAAAGAATAAAATTGATGTTGTCATTTTCTTGGTTTGCTTTTTTCTCCATCCACTCTTACTAATATATTTTTTTTACTGTAGTAGTAATTCATTGACTGTTTGTGAAAGAGGAATTTACAAAGCTCTGGTGCATGTGCACACATAATGTACTAAATGCGCATGTGAAAAGGAGCTAGAAGAGTAATCACTGAGACTCTCAGTATATTTGACACCTGCTAGACATCACAGTCTTGTTTTTCAAAATAGAGTACTTTTTCAGAGGGCTATTTGGCTTCCATTTGGTTCTCTCTGGCCTATATTACTGAAAATGTCTATCTTATCAATCTATTCAAATCATTATTTTAATTTATTTTTTAAGTAAAACAGAAATGTATCACCATCACACAGCTGTTAAATCAGATTTGACAGTGTGACCTCACTTACATGCAGTCTAGATTTCCAGATCCCACACTCCTCTTTCCTTTCCATGATGTTATAACTTGATTATTTTTTTACTACATGGGAGATTTTTAGTACATATTTTATGGCAAGCCAAGAGAATATCAAGCTGAAATGACTTGAATACATTTTAATAAGAAACAGATCTCTGTGACATGATTTCTTCTGAGAAAGCTGCTTCCCTATAATTTTTTTTCAGAACTGGCACTATTTACATTCTCTTAAATTTACCTAGGTATTAGCATTCCTTTGTCAGTAGTAGGAGTTAGGTAAAAGTAAATAAGTGAAATAGAACTAGGGTTTATCTAAAATTTCACTGCAGTTTTAAAATCTTGATGCTTGCATGTGTTTTGAAGATTCTTTAAAAGGTATTTTAGCTCAGTTTTAGTTTTTGTTACAAATTGTATTGGATTACACTGTTGCTTGTACTCTTGTGAATTTTGAGTAGTAGGTTGCTGGGTGACAAGCATGAGAGTAAAAGAATTTGGTTGTAAACATATCAAAGTTGAAAGACATGTAATTCCGAAAGAAAAACATTTAAGAGAAGATATCTACAATAAATCTCAAACAAAAAAAAAATTGAAATTATTTTTGTCATTTTTTTCTAAGAACCTAATAGAATAGCCAGGGTGAGGGAGCAGAGTATGTAAATGGTTGAAGCAATGCCTGTGTAGCTTTTCCTTTTACATCCATTACTCTTTATTTTATTTTAGAAAATTTGTGATCCTATATATTTTATTTTCATGAGAACAGTTTTAATTTACATTTAATGGAAAATCAAGTGATCTTAAAATTCAGAACATGAGGATTACTGTCTGGTGCTGCAATATTTCTGGAGGTATTCTTGTCTTGTTTGTGACCCACGGCAATAGAGAATGGTTTTCATGGAAAGTCAGAGAGGTCATATGGTCATTTATAAGTGAGATCATTAATAAAATTTCTCCTTGACCTATCAATTGAGATAGCAAGGTCTATTATTAGTAGTGTGTGCTTTTGGACTGTCCAGTGCTCTAGTTCAGCTCAGCATTTTCAGCAGTACTGTGTCTGCCTGCCTCATGCTTATTTGCAGGCAGTAATTTTACCAGATTTAGAGGCCTTACTTTACACTTTGTTCCCACTTTGATGTAGAAAAGACAGAAATCCAGGATCCTCAGAAAGCTAATAAAAAGGAAAATTGAATCAAGTACAAAACTTCTGTGCAGTAGTAGACATCAGAATTTTAAACTACATAATTAGCATGTTTTCTGTTACATTAGAGGTATTTTTAACACCACCCCAAGTGTGATACCTTTGTAAATCCTACCAGATCAGTCTGAATTGATTCTGTTTGTGAAGAAGTAATGCTGTCATTGCTGAAACATATAATTGTTACAAAACATGTCTAAGATGGAAGAATAATGCAGAAGGTGAAGACTAAAGTAGTGATGTGAATAGTGATGTGGTTACTGTGTATTTCAGAGTGAAGGAGTCACTGCAAAAACATACAGCCTGGAAGTGTTTCCCTTATAAAACAAAGGGGAGACAGTTTCATGAAAGCTTTAATGCAGTGGAGAGTTGTGTGCAATTTCACTAATGAACACAGAAATAAATATGTTTTGCATCCTTCTTGAGCTGTATTTCTGTTACTTTCACTGAGAGCAAGAATGGAAAGGTAGGGGAAAAGAAATATACTGACCTTATGGAACCTGAAGTAGGCAATCCACTGAGGAGGTATCTATCATGATACAATTTTGTGTGCTTTTTTTGTTTGTTTTTGGGGTTTTTTATCCAAGTTAGTGTGAAGTAGTTGCACATCTACTTTTGATACAAATCAGATTAAATTATGCATCTGCTCTTACTATATGATTACTCTTTTGTGTGTTTCTGTTTGCCTTGCCCTTTATGTAAATCACAAAACTATCCAAAAATGAAAACTGATTTATTCTGAGCAGTACTCTTTAGCAATTTCTATAGCTAATAAAAAGTTGGAGGACCCAGGGAGAGTCTTTAGTTTGAGATCTCCCTCTGATTATTCTATTCTTTCAGCAAGTGTCTGTGGGTATCTGATCATAAGATTGCATAGTAGTGAATCCTTGAATTTGATATGTTTGTGTACTCACAGACAGCTCTTTTGTCAGTTTGACTGAGATCTGTGTATTTTCATGGCACATAGAGTTTCATAGGCCATAGGTGTTCTCATATGTTCTAATTTATAAACTGTGTTTTCTGTGTATCTTCTAATTTTGTATGCATAATGCATAAATAATATTAGGAGACAGTTTATACTCCAAGACATGATCAGAGTGCTATAAGGAATGTTTCTTTTGGAATTTGAAATTTCTTGATACTTTGTTTCTTTTCTTAATATTTGAACTTTTGTCTGAGTGGATTTCTACTTTTAGAAGAAGCACAAAGTGAAATTGTGCTATTTGATAAACTAACTATTGGTTTTGTTTCATGGTGAATTAAAGGAGATATTACATTTTAATTTTGCATAATTCTTGCAGCTATGAGTTTGTGAAATATCTCAGACAATACATAAAAAATACAGTGGGACCTGTGATTGAAGAAGAAACAGAAAAATGTACCTCTGCTGAAAATCAGAGTGAAATGTCTGGCTATGACACTCTTGTCCAACATCTTACTAAGAAAGCCCGTGAATCAAAAGAGTGAGTATATACCTGTAATTCACGTCTCTATTTCTTCTTTGTCTTAGTCTTCCTTTCACTTTTCTGTAACATATTTTGAAAAAATAAGATCTGAACCAATAAAAATTCTGAACCTGTAACCAAATTCAGTGCTAAGAAATTCATATATAGCTGCCCTACATTGTAATTTGTCGTGCTTTGTCTCACACTGGAATTAAGGCTGTGAACAATTACATAAAATGATAGGTAGAAAATATGTGAAATTTTGGAGTTATTTAGGATTTTAGCATCAGCAGTTATTTTAATGTGTTGCAAAATAAGAAAATAGGGAAATAAATGTTAGGATGACTTTTTCAGATTGTTGAAATATGCTGTTTGCATAATTTTGTTTCAAGGATCAGGACCTTAGGGTTTTGTGCCCGTTCAAATTGGTAGAAGAAACTCCAGTGAGCTAAATATGTATCTTATATTTTTAATTTGACATGTAGGAGGGTATTAAAGCACAGTATGATAATTTGTATCTTTGATGACTGTAAAATAAATAATTGTAGCATTAATATAAAAAAAATTGAAATAAAATATCAGCATTTTACAACAGGAAGCTTCTTTGAAGCATTTTTTTATTTTGAATTGCTTCCTTGTGGATATTATTTTTCAATTTATGGAAATTAGAAAAACCCTGGTTTTGTTGAAAGAAAATTATTTTGTGTGCATATCCTGTACTCAAGATCTTGAATCAGGATTATGTGTTCATGTCTATTGGTTCTGCTTGAAGTTTATAGCAACAGTAAAATTGGATGATGAACTATGAGAAATAAACAGTAACAAGGATGAAAGCTGGCCTGTTTTTTCAGGGACATATCCTCCTGTCCCTGAAAAGGAGGGTCCCTCTCTTCTAAAAAGGAGGCTTTTTGGTGGATTCATGTTGTTCTTTCTTGAGAACATCCAAAAATAGAATTATGATAGTGGTATTTCATTGAATATTTCTGGAAAAAAGGAGTTTTTATTGTAATTTTAGAATATCATTAACTGAAACACATCAGGTACATTTATGTTTCCTTGGATTTGGTATTCATTAATTGCTGTAAATTCAGTGAGTTCAAGTCAAATTAGCATTATGTCATTTTCAGTTATTCATGATGTAGCAATTTCTTTTTCTTATTTTTTACATAGTGATTTTTATGCTCTTATATATTAAAATAATCTTTACTTTTAAGATACAGAGAAATGATATATGCCTTGAAGAATGTCATGATGGCTGTGGTGGAATCTTTGATTAACAAGTTTGAAGAAGATCGGATGCATGATAAGGAGCTGGCTAGTAAAGCAAAGGAAGAACATCAGAGTGGCTGTTACACAGACAACTGTTCTGACAGTGACTCCTCCTTCAACCAAGTACAATGGGGTTTTTCTCTGTGATATAAAATAATCATGATACTGCAAAATTGTTAAGCTTCTGTCAATGGAGTGGCCTTAGAGGAAGACTATTTTTCCCCATCTTTGTTGTATCTTAAACCCAAATAATTTGCTTTTCTTTCAGTTTTAAGTACTAAGCTTATATTAGCTACTATAGGCATCACATGCTAGATGAGATCAGTATGATGCCTATATGCTCCAAAGTACCTATCCAAGTATGGTATAGGAAGATAAAGTCAGTACATCATCTAACTTTTATGATTTTACTTTAGAAGCCAAATAACATGCAGTTCATTTCCAGGCTACTGAGCTATGCTACATTTCTTGCTGTATGAATTATTATAAGGGATTTATTGAAGATAGAGAAAACGTTGAAGTAAAGCCAACAAAATATGCCATAGTAATTTCATTATCTTAAGTTTAACTTTGGGCAAATAGCAGAAAACATTTGGAATGTTGACTTTATAGTAAAATTAGTGTAAATGTTGAAGTCTTAATTATTAAAAGTAAATTAGGTATCAGAAAGACTGATGATTTTAATCTTCTGGTGTTCAGTTTAATAAAATATACTAATCATCATTTTATAATGTGTATTACAGAGTTATGCATTCATGAGTCAAGAACAATTGCAGCTGCTCACAGAAAGGCTTGACCCTAGTCAGCCCAAGGAAGTAAGTTTAAAAGGAGAGATGAAATGTTAATACATATGAATGTTTATGGCATATTGGGGAGCAGCTTGTATGTACGTAAAAGTACATATGTACCTAAGTGGAAACTTATCTTTGTTGGTTCATCTATCTTACCTTTAGTGCAGAAGCTACTCTGCTGTACAGTTACTTCATTGTTTGTAACTGTGTGGTTCAAAAACTAGTGTTGCAGCAAGTATCTTTTATTTCTTTTTAGAGATGTATGTGCTATAGATTGGCATTTTTAGTTTAAAAAAAAGAAAAAGTTGTTCCATGATAAATAAAGTTACTGAACATTATTTGTCCTGTATACATGTCCCTTACCCTTCTTGGTAACTTCTGTGTTGCCCTTTGAGTTACCTCTGTCAGAAGAGAGAGAGATGCCTGCTGATTTGCCAACAACCTGCTGCCAAATGGAAAATATATGTCCAAGTTAGGTTTGCTGTCCTGTCAGTGGCAGTACTAATTTGTGTCTCTAACCGACAATCAGCACCAGCTGCTGGTATTTTTGAAGCTTGAAGAAATATCAGTTTGAGTGTGCTGTCTTGATAAGACTTGTTGGGGCTTGTCTGGCAGTTGAAAAAGGCATGGTATGTAGGAGCTGCTACAAACATTGTTATGGAGTTTTATTGGAAAACTAGGTAAAAAGTCTGATGCTGTTAAATGTTATTAACATGTCCTGCAGTTTCTTTCAGTAAGATGAAATAAATTACTAGAGATGACACTTGTCTATGAATTAAAAAAAGCTTTACTTGAAATTATTTAGAATGCTGATGAAAATTCAGTCGTACAAAACAATATTTAATAACTGTGTCTGCTTCTAGCTGTGAGCTTTAGTGACTATAGTCACTATAGTTTAGTGACCTCAATAGCAAAATATTTGATTGCAGGCAGAAAGTAGAACATAAACCTTGCATTCAGTATCAAAAACTCATTTAAAATGGTTTTATTACTTCTTTGAATGCATGCATTTCCCCACTCAGTGATGTAGTGTTTTGTCTAAATAGCCATAAAAAATATGGGAGTAGATAAGTATTTGTTATTCCTTATCCATTCTACAGCCAGATTCTGTACCTTCCTGTCCTTCCTCCCTCCCTCTCACTTGTAAATTACATATTTCAGTTTACTGTGAATGTTTTTTTGGTGTTTGTCTTTTTGACTGTTCCAGGTTCGCCAAGAAGCTTTGCAGACGCTGTGCTTGGCCCCAGCCTCTGATATCCTGAGCTCTGAGAGTTGGCCTAATCTGCGTAAGCATCTGACGATCTCCCTTGCAGATCCTGATGCAACATTCAGTGTAAGGGAATGTTTTGTATCTAATTATCTGATTTGTATCCAAAGAAAGGACTACCAAAAAGGTATATGAAGTTACACATAAGTAGTCCAGCAGGGTTCAAGACATTTTATTATTATATACACATATTTTCTGAAGTAACGGAAATACAGAATTACAGTAAATTAAAAGTCCTTTGGTTTAAAGGACTGCAAGAGGCTTTCAATAGGATTTTTAGACACCAAAGTACTCATTTGGATTTCTTTTAATGACAGTGAAGACATTTGAATTTCTTTTCTCAAAAATGCACGAAAAAAACATGGACAGAACTGATTTGTAATATAGGTCGTGTTAATATTTTCTGCTCAAGTCAGGTTTATGCTCCATGATAATGAGAAAATGATACATAGTAATAATACATAGGCAGTGATGAGGAAGAAATGAGAGCTGCTTAAATGGCTTTTAGATTATTTCTTATGTCAAACTTCTTTGCTTCTTCAAATTTTAAAGTGATTACCAAATAAATAGGAAAGTGGCCCCAGATGCTGCCATATATTTCTCTTTCACCTGAGTTTACAGTTTCTTTTAAAACTGTGATAGTTACAAGTCACTGATTCTTAATGGAAAAGTAATGTTCCTTGGTCTGCTCTGTAACTCAGTGAAGCTTTGCATTGGTGCTGTAGTTCAAGTATTTGAATAAAATTTCCTTTGAACTGGAGATTTCTGTGATCAGAAACTATATTTTTATAAAAACATGCTTAACATCTGTACAGATATCTAAATAAATAATGCACAATATTAAGAATGATGATATATTGATTATTTTGCAGTTACAATACACAGTTAATGACTATTTAATACACTGCTTGCTTTTTTCACCCTTAGGAGAAAATTCTCAGGTTCTATGCAAAAACCTTTTCTTCTTCTCCATTTAATATGACAAAAGAAGTCTATACAAGTTTAGGTATGTGAATTTAATTACATTTCAAACTTCATGGGTCATGTACTTTTTGAAAAGTTAAATTTTATAATTATGACTGTATAAGACAGCCTGTTTTTTCACTGTTGTCATGGAGGCGAAATAGTTTTTTGTTGTTGGGTTTCTCTTTTTCTTCTTTTTTTAGCAAGACACTTGGAATTGTACTTTCTTTCTGGAGAATATTCTCTTCATATTTCAGCTGGTCTGGATGTATCTAACTCAGATGTAAATCGTTTACTTAAAAAGGTAAAAATGAACTTTCTGTACCTTTTTTATCAGTACTGAAACATTATGCATGAATTATTTTTAATTTTAATAATTAAATTTTTAGGTTCGCCTTTTAAATGAGTACCAGAAGGAAGCACCATCTTCCTGGATTCGACATCCAGAAAAGTATGTCACCTTCAAGACCCTGTAACTGTTTCTTAATTTAATAGTTATTGACAGAAAATAAGATGCATGTAATTTTGGCAAAGGCTTGATTATAGGATGCACAGTGGCTGGTCAGTGATAATAAGGGAAATAAAATTAGAAGCTGGGAAAAGTAAAATGGGGAAGTTACATAGGAGTAGTCATATTAAGCTGCTTACTTAGCTTTTGGACTGTTCTAAGTACTTTTGAACAAAAATAATTGGGATGTAAGTGTAGCAAGTGTAATACTCAGCACTTAAAAGATGTAATAATTTAGGAGAATATAGATACATATTAATTTTATTTGTAGTATTACAAAGAATTAATGCCCATACAAGATCAAGGTAAAGATAATGCTGTTGATATTTATGATTTGTCTGAACAAGGCTTTATGAGAAGTTTGTTCTTGAGCATTACTGGTGGAAGAACTTCAGTGATATTTTTGGTTTGTGCCCATTTTTTCCCATTTGTGTCATAAGGTACATGGAAGAAGTAGTGGAGAGTACCTTGTCACTTCTGTCATTAAAACACAAGCCTAATCATCCTGCCTCTCCAGATTTCTTGAGTCCAATGCACTTCTTGGCTCTGCTAGATATCAAAGCAGTGTGGTTTAAGAAATGGACGGTAAGCAAATAACCTGCAACCCAACAATTCACAACTTGTTCATGTCAGACATTTATTTTGAAAAGTTACAGTTCTGACATCATGGACCTATTGTGTCCTATAACAGCCTATACTGAGAACTGTAATTAAGGAAGTGTAGGGGTTTTTAAGACTTTGATGGTCGCTGCATTTCAGTATTACTATCCACCTCAATTTCTGTTCAGCTACTTGTTTTCATGAAATTTCTGATTATTTTCTATGCTTTATGTCTTCATTTCCTTTGGTAGAATTGACTGACAGCCATTAAAAGATACAAGTATTTTTTTGGAAGAAGTGATGAACATGAAAGGATAGTTATATATATTACACACTACACACAACTTGCAAACTTCAGTGGACATTAAATATTTTTCCAGCCTACCATATATAAACTTAAAATTTAGGAATTGCTTGGAAATTTCAAAATGCATAGTTCAGCATTTCAGCATAGTTATATGTTTTCTGTTTTAACTGTGTGTTTTACTACACTTTCTTCTAATGATGTAGTTTCTTTTTGTCATAAATGTACTGCAAACAAAAGTCTCAGTTGAGAATAATACTGGCTTACTTGAGCTGGAGTTCAATACACTGAATATGTACTGTATATGGGATGCCTACTAGGACAGAGATAATTTCTACTTTTTAGTTAAAAACTGGAACATTTCTCTGCAGTTGACATTACATCTTCTTTGTCATTCAAGCATGCATATTACAGCAGAAGAGTAGTATTTAGGCTTCTAGAGAAGAAATATAAATCTTTGGTAAGTACTTCTATTAATATACTTTATTGATTATATATTCAATAATAGTCTGTAAATAAAATTTATTGATAGAACACAGGGTAATGGCTTGAAACTGAAAGAGAGTAGATTTAGATTAGATATTAGGAGGAACTTTTTTTCTGTGATATTGGTGTGACATTGGAGAAGATTTCCCAAAGAAGTTGTGGATGCCCCTTCCCCCATGGCATAGTTTGGAACTAGATGATCTTTAAGGCCTCTTTCAGCCCAGGTGATTCTATGAATTACTGAGGCAAATTTACTTGCAATTTAATCTTTTTTTTTTATTTTATTTTTGGTTTTGTTTTTTTGGGTTTGTTTTTTTGGGTTTTTTTTTTGAGCTGTTTCATGTTCTTCACCTAGTTAAGCCTTTTGGATTTTAATTTTTTTTTTTCAATTTTTCTTTTTTTAAATGGATTATTGATAACCACAAAAAAGTGTATATGGCTGTCTCTGAGTAAGGGGAATTTGAATATTTTATTGCAGGTGTTTATTTAGGATTATAATTTATTAATTTGTTATGTTTCATTCATATTTTGGATTACTTAAAAAAAAACATAGAAATGACAAATGGTGCATGATAAACACTAAATACACTGTGCTGAATTTGGATTTTTGATGAAAAGAGGCTAAAAAAATCGCATGGTATTCTTTGAAACATTAAGGGTTCAAAGTCGGCAAGATAAATCAAACTGGGAAAACACATTTAGTAATACAGCTGTTAATCTATCATATATTTTGTATGGGCAGATCTCTTTACAGGGATGGAATTTTCATTGTTTTTAATAAGACCACTGTAGGTATGAGATCCATTCATATAAAAAGGACTTGGCTTTGTTTTATAAAATCTTGTCATACAAATGAAATCAAATGTAAAACATATGGGATTGATAAAAATATAGAAAAGGACACAGACAACTATAAGAGACCTTTATCTTTTCTATCTCCATGACATAGAATAAAGCATGATTCATACAACAGAGTTTATAATAGAAAGTCCATGAGCAGGGTAGTCTAATCTAATTTATAAGCAGAGGGTAAACATCTGATTAAGGTTGGGGTCTTTTTTTTATTGTGTATATCTGTATTTTTACACTTGTGAATAAATCTTGGCAGCTCCAAGCTGGAATAAATCTAACTATTCTTCTTGGATCATAAGAAAATGGAAAAAGATAACTCTATCCCGGCTGAAACCAGGACAATATGTTTTGTTTTTCCTTGCTACAACCATGATTAAAATTTTTAAACTTTTATATACCTTGATTACATTATAGTGCTATGACAATGATACACCACCAAGAGCAGTTGTAGCACTGACAGCACCTAGCAACTAAACCTACAGTTTAATAGGTGTATTCAAGACAAACTTTTTCACATGTGGAAATTTAAAATCTTTCACAGTAATGACAGTAGGGCATTCACAGGTTGCTGTTGACTTCTCAAAACACTTCCATGTTCTCTGTACTCCTTTTCATAGACTGTCTTTATGTGTTAGAGCTGATTGTGTGATAATGTAATAATAATGGTGATATATTTTAATAGCCCTGTCAATTTTGCCTCCTCTTGGTTAATCCATCCAAAGCACTGAAAAATGAAGTCATTGAAGTGAAGTGGATATTCAAGTTCTTGTGTTAAAGGACAGTACTTGGATACAGGAGAGAATGAGTTTATTGTGAAATATCAGGTACTTTATTATTTTGTGCTTTATTCCACAGATTAATGCAGCGGTCCAGCAATGTCTTGATTATTTTGAATTTTGCAAGGCAGCAGTTAATAAAAATTCTGAAGTCAGTGACTTCTCCCAGCAGCTCTGTAGTGAGTATCTTTGCATGTCTCACATTATATGTGCACACATACTCATTATTTAGGCTTTTGAGCATGCTACCTCAAGAGCAAGACATTCTGTCTATTCTATTTCTTCCCTAAATACTGTATGATTATCTTTTAAGAGAAAACTAATAGCAGCAGTTAATTACTTAAGGTGTCTTTATATACAAAATTATCTGCTTATGTTGCAGGAAGTAGCTAGGTACTGTAAATTACATTAGTAAAGTTCTAATTTTTTTGCTTTATTGTTACAGGTGATATGCAGAATTTTTCTTACACTGGACCAGAGTTGCAGTACATCTATTTTGTTCATTCACTGTGCCTCTTAGGAAGATTGTTGATCTATAAGCAAGGCCAGAATCTCTTTCCAGTACAATTGAAAAATAAAAAAGGTAGGATGAGAGTTGAGGAGAATAGAACCTGTTGAAAACAACTGTATCCATTCTTGATATTTGTTTATATATTTTCACTGCAATAGTATGGACAATGAAGAACAATACTTTGTTTACCAGTTCTGGGTCTGGAAACTTTCATATAGGTGGTGTCTGTGTATATATCTATAAATGAGCATCTATACACAGTTTTTTATTCTTTGATGGTTTTGGTTGAATGGATTGCTAATGTGTTTTAATATATTAATTTCGTGTTGAAGGACAGTTGGACCAGTGTGTAAGTGATTCAGTTTTTCTAAGTGTGAGTAATAGCTTCTGTCAAACCATTTGATGTAATTGGTTGGAAGAAAGACATGTCCAGGGACCAGAACTGTTTTTCAGGTGTGAAAGAAAAATCAGTATTTCAAGCTAATAGCAAGTTGAAATCAAGTGCTCTGAGCTTAATCTATTAATTAAGATAGAAGTAGAAGAAATGTTCTGTACCTGTGGAATGGAGGTGTTAATAGGGACACAAGATACGAGATAGAAAAGCTCTTGGACAGTCAGAGAGATCTACATGGTGCAGGGTTGTCAAGAAGTTTGTGAGGGAAATTGTAGCATTCCATTGCTTTAATGTCTCTATTAATTCAATGTGAAATTTGAAACATTACTGGATACTAGTTCTGTGACTTGTCTTTTGTCCCTCTGGTTAGAGTATCAAGTCTTGACCCTGTGTGGAGCTGTTCTGAGTAAGAAAGGTCTACTAATAAAGTGCTTTTCTAATTTATGCAATTTATGAGCCATCCAGCAGAGATCTAGGGATGGTGGTTGCTTTTAACATTGTCCTTCTCAGCTTCATAGATGGTAACTCTTTCCTCACAAATTGGCCAATCTATTACCATTATTACATTAAACTCAGAGCAATTGTTTCCATCTTGCATTTAGCTACATTAGTTGTTTTTGTTTCAGATCTGAGAGAGTTGTGTGATAGCCTCTCTCTTTTCCAGTTTCACTTAATCTAATAGTAAAGTAATGCTTTTTTTCTACAGTCATGTATATTCAGTATTTTGAAATGCTGGCTTCCATTTTTTGCAGTGAAAGATATTATAAAATTTCAGTTGGCTAAATTGAGAGCAAGATCAAGTCTTAAAAGTTGATCATTAAATACCATAGTAGAGTCCCAAGGACATATATGTCCTTTGTTTTATCACTTATGTTATACATAACTGATTTCCTCTATACAGCAAAGCATTTTTACATATATTCACAAAATCCGTTTTTCATTTGGAAAATTAAACTTAGTCTTTAATTTACAAAATACTTTCTCTTTTTTTAATTTTATTTTTCTTAATAGATAGCGTATCGATAACTGATGTGTTGGTATTATTTGTTCAACTTATTTATTACTCTCCAAGTCACCCAAACACAGCTTTGGAAGCAAATACAGGTAAATGTTTTTTTTTTTCCTTATACACTAATATATTTAGTTATAATGAGGCGTATGATAACTTCTTTTGCAATTTTTAATTTGCGTCTGTTACTAGTGTAGTTTTTTCTTACCCCTTCCACTCTTACCATATCTTCCTCCTTTCTATGTTGAATCAGCACTTAATAAAATTATTATTAATTCAGAAGCAACTACATAAATCATATAGAAATATTTGTCTAAGTTAAAATATAAATAAATATTTCTTGTGTTCACCAGACAATTATTCTCCAGAAAGTCTTGTTATGGAGATTCTGCAAGTTTTTTGTGATCAAACAGGATGTGCCGCTGAGTGTTTGTATACAGACACAGTGATTGATGCCCTGCTTCATCCTGTTCAAAGTTTGCTAAGTGGCACAGAGGTTTGTAATAATCTTCCAAATGATTTTTACATTGTAGAATATTATACTTTTTCCATATTTTCTGTGTAAAAGGTTTCTTTACTCACGTGCTATCATAGCTTCTGTAATATTTTATACATTAACTATCATAGTATGTATTGAATAGTTTTGTCTGTTACTGTGAATGGTGTGACATGGAAGTCTTGTGAATAGTAGCAAAAATTGTGCTGTAGTGAGACTACTTTCCTTGGGAAAAAACACACTGTTTATTTTTTCTCATTGGTTTTGTCTTTTTTCTGATGCCATTTAGACATTTCTTGGATGAATATTTTCTCTACCTTTATTTGAAAAACAACCTACTATTATTTTTAAATTCAGTTGGCAACTTGTAAGTTAGGTGCTCTCAATAACTAGTGTAAGTAAAATATATAATTCTACATGGAAAGCTACTATTTTCTGGATTGATAAAAGAAAATGTTTTTCTTGGGTTTTTTTTGTTTTTTTTTTATTGTAAACATTTCTGTAAGAATTACGAAAATATTGGGAAATTGTGCTCTTTATGATGAAGATTTCTGTGTGATGACGTTTGAATGTAGGCTGGTAACTTACAGTGTTTTAAGACATTAAGAAATCATCAGAAAGGTGGCCTTCAAGAGGTGCATACCTAAGACAGACTTGGAAAAACAACTTTCACAAAAGCATTGAATTTAAAGCTTTCTTTTTTGTTTTTCCTCTTCCAAATAGATGTATATAAACTGTATTGAAACCACTTTGCTTGATGTAGCCGATATTTTGGCAAGGATTGCTGGTTCAGAAGATGGTCTTTCTCTTCTTCTTTATGGAGAAAATGAAAAAAATGCCAAAGACAGGTAAGAGTGCATTAATGCATGGCATTAGTGAGCACTTCATTGAATTACATTGTTCCTATGAGACTTGTTTGCTCATCTTTCATTTGTCTATAACGTGATACATTTTGGTTTTGTTTGAGTAAAATATCTGATTATAAATTAAAGTAGGAAGTGTTTCATAGATGTATAGGGGAGATATTTATGTGTAGGACCAGGTGAAATGATGATGTAACAAAATGCTTATAATAAGAGAGATTTTCATGTTTTTCTTCTTTTTCTAATTATTTTGTAATTAAATGTTTCCCTTTCCGAATATAGTTCCATTATATTCATAATGGATATTCATATTTTCAGACCAAAGGCCTCTCTTCTTCAATTTTATTTGTTATTAGAATAAGTGTTAAAACCAACCAAATTTATTGAAAGAATAGATTTAATGTAGCATTCACATTTCAATACATTTAGTAGAGACAGATCTTGTGTAAGAAGCTGCCATGTGTAACACTGTACCTAATTTAGGATCAGTGTATTCCTATGGATGGAATATAGTTAACTGATGCTAAAACTTTTAACAGCAGTAAAACTGAGATGAGCCTTTGAAAACAGCTAAGATGCAGGTCATGAAAATGTTTGGAGTGTATGTCTTCTAAATGGAGAAATCTCAAAATTGTATTCCCAGCTGGACTCCTATAAAACACAGAGTGTGTAGTTCATAGTCCTGTAGGCTGAGTGGGAAGAATGGATATATTTTTGCATTGAATAGTTGTTTGCCAAAGTGGCATCACTTGTGTGATGACTTTTCTTCTGACTGGCATTGCAAGTTATAATATAGTTTGTCCCTCCATAGTGGATCATAGTCTCTTTCCATAGTTTCTTTTCCCCTAAAAAATGTAAATAAACTTAGTCAGAGGATTTGTTGCAAGGCTTACTACAAAACAAAATTTTAAATGCATTATTTTATTTCTAGTCCTACAGCTGCTCATGTACTTGTTCAGTTTACAAAGAAACTTCTTCATGATGACATTCCTCTTTTATCTGGATCTGAGTTTATGTCAGTTGTTAAAGGAACTTTCATTTTTGTATGCCGTCAAATATACAGAACTTGTGAAGGTCTACAGATGCTAATTCCTTATGGCTTGCATGAATCTATTGCAGAGGCCTGGAGAAAGGTAAATTTTGCTTTTGGATTGGAAAAAATCTTACTGTGAGAGTTTCAGCTTGTGTAATAGTTGTTCTTACAGGTTAATTATTTTTAAGCAGTTAGTACTTGAAACTGTTGTCAAAAAAGTTCTGCTTGCACATTTTCCTTCTGAATGTGAACTTAGCTGAAGTTTAATTTGAGACTTCTATGCCTAAGATTAAATCAGGAACTCTTGATGCATTGGGAGACCTGTCATTCATTGTCCTTGATGGTACAAGTTACTTGGTGTCATGATAACCACTGACAACCACAGATCTTGCTTTCATTCTTGATTTGAGATATTTTGAAAGAAAATACTCCTAAGATGTGCTCTTACTAATTTTTAGTTGAACTGGTTTGTGTCATATATATATGTCATATATATATGTGGGATATATGGAGAAAAAAAAAAAAAGCAGATTGCAATTGTTAGTGAGGTAATATTGAAATATTCTCAAGAGACCATAGTGAGAAGTGCCAGGCAGGAGTTTTTGTCTTACCTGAGTACATGGATTTGTTAGGAAGTTTAGACTCTGTACTTCAACTTCAGTTTGATTGCTAGTCCTATGTTTTTTCTACATGAGAGAAAGTGCTTGGATCCAACAGTTCTGTGTATTTTGCTTTCTGTTATCACAGAACCACAGAATGGGTAAGATGGGAAGAGACCACAGTGGCTCAACTGGTCCAACCACCCTGCTCAAGCAGCATAATCTTGTAGCGTATAGTACAGGATTGTGTCCAGAGGGTTCTTGTCTATCTGCAGTGGGGGAGACTCCACCATCTCTCTGGGGAATCTGGTCTAGTGCTTATTCACCTGCACAGTAAAGAAGTTTTTTTTATGCTCAGGTGGAACTTTTTGTGCATCAGTTTCTGCCCATTGCCTCTTGCCCTGTTGCTTGACACCACTGACAAGAGCCTGAGTCCCTCCTCTTGACACCCTCCTTTCAGATACTGACAGATACTGATGAGGAACCCTCTCAGTTGTCTCTTCTCAGGACTGAACAAGCCCAGCTCTCTTAGACTTGCTTCATAAATGATGATGCTCCAGTCCCCTCATCATTGTCAGTTCTATTTTCATTGTTCTAATAGTCACATGCAGTGTGAAAATTACTGTGATTATAAAAAATTACTTAAGATGGAGAATTTACGTCAGGTTCTGCAAGCGCAAAAGTTCACAGAGAAACAAATTCCAACATTTGAATCATTAAAATAACATTGGCACAATTTAGGTAAAGATAGCAAACAAATCTTCAACTTTGGCTTCCAACTTAACTGAAAGCATATTTAAATTGTATGTATTAGAACTCGTAGTGGAAAACCAGAGTCAAGCTGTGTTAATCACTTTACACTGAAAAGTGAGACTGTCTTTTTTATATCTTAGAGAGGGATCAGATCAAGCTGGAACAAAGAATGGACTAAAAGACTAAATTTGTTATTTCTGGAGGCAAGGAAGTGGGAGGGAAAATGAATGCAAGGGAAAAAAGAATGGAACAGCTATTCTTCCTTCTTGTATGCTTCTACTGTATGCTTTTATTATAATGAGGTATTTAAAAAATACAGTCACAATATAAACTGAGGCAGAAAATACCAGAAGGGTAAAACATGAATAGAAGATACTTAAATCACCAGTTTGTGGGTATTTCTCACTGTTTCATATATTAATATTGCTATGATGGCATACATTGTCTTAAAAATAAAATATATTAATATTTAAAATCATAATTACATCCCAATAAATTCTGTTTCTCATCAAAGAATGTTGGTTTTGAAACTTATATTCTTTCTTGCATTGACACTTGAGGTTTTTTGTTGAATTAAGGAGCTTAGTTCACTTGATTCATGCTGTAATTGACGTAACTCAGCAGTCTTCTTTTTGATGCTTTCCTATTGTGTAACTCATCAGTTTTACTCAAAGTGGTCTGTTTTTATTCTATTTAATGTTTATCACAGGCAGCATGTTAAGAGCTTTTGATGGGCATTTCCAGTTATTTTCTCTAAAAATCCACAGCATTTGCACTTTGTACAGACTTCTTTCAACATTAAAGTAGCTTATTATGGTATATAACATGATTTAGACAAATTGTCTTGACATCTACAAGATAAGTAGACTAAATGTGTTGAATAAAAACAAAGTCTACCCTACAAAATGCTATTTCTTCACTTCAGTTTGGTATATATAAACTGAAGTAGAATCAACATATTCTTGACTTCAAGAATCAGCAGGTTATTACAGGAAAGTCAACTCCATCATCTTACTAGTTGTAAAAATATTTTATATCACTTTTCAATTTTAAAACACCTGAAGTTTATAAAATATATTACCATTTATAGAGTAACAAAAACCAGTGGACTGTGGTGGAGTCTTTCCAAGCAGTAGTATCAATTTTTTAATGGTTGGACTGGTAACTTACATCCTTTTCTCTTACATATCTCCCAGAGTTTTAAGACTAATGGAGAAAGAAATTAATTTTCTTCTTTGCAGAATCTGATGGAATTCTGAGACAGAATTTATAGAGATGATAATAACAGGGGAGCAACAGATCCAGTACAATTGATTAGTTTAATAGAATCTTTTGTTGATTTTGTGCATCAGATTTATAAGGCAGTAAATTAATAACTGCTCACTTTTATTTCATTGGTGTAATTTGACTTTTCTTCCATAAACATAAAGCAACTTAAATAACTAATTTTAAATATGCTGTCTTTCATGCCAATTATTTTCAAATACAATTTAAATTATCAAATATAAAACTATGTATATAAATTTATGTCTGTAACTTTAATGACATCCATACCAATATAGATACATTTATATAATTTATAAAAAAATAAATAATGGCAGAATTAATTAATTAATAAGTTTGGTATAGTGACTCTAGAGGCTGTTATTTCCATGGACAGAAATGGAGTTAAAGAGTTGTGTTACAATTTTTTTCTTTTTTTCCTTTTCTTCATTTTTTTCTTTTAAATGCCAGTTTTCAATTTGGGAGTCTCCAGTTGGAAAGTAAAGTAAAATAAAAATATTTAAAATGTGCTATCTTTAAAATTGTTTATACCCAAGGAAGAAGTTAAAAATAAGCTTTTCTGGAATAAAAAACAGTGTAGTGGATTAGTGTATTCTGTGCCAAAGACTAGACTGCAACTAATCACTGTGTTTTTTTCCTTTTGTATATAACAAGAGAATAAACAAGATCTGGAGTTTAAAAATGGTGTAAATAAACCTTAAGGAGGTGTTTGTTTATTTTCATTTTACAGGCAAGTTTGCTTTCAGAAAGAGTGCCTACTCCTGTAACTGATGCAGACTCCACTTCATCAATAAGTCAAGAATCAAAAAACAGGTAATTTGGTACTTGACTTATGCACATGAATAAGTGTGAACACACATTGCTGCTTTAACTACAGCTGAGACATCTTGTAACCCCACGCCTTTGTTGTCGCTTGATTCCAGCTGGCAACTAAATGCCATACAGCCATTTGCATCCCAATGGCATGGGGAGGAGAATCAGGAAAATGAATTATTGGTTGAGATACAAACAGTCTAATAATTGAAACAAAATAAAATACAGTAATACTAATAATACTAATACTACTAATTGTAATAATAATATTAATAGTAATGAAAAGAAGAGAGAGAAGTAACACATATGAGAAACAAGTGACATACAAATCAATTGCTCATTACTCTCTGACCAATGCCCAGCTCATCCCTTAACAGTGATTTTTGGCCAGCTCCCTGCAGTTTATGTACTATGCATGACTTTCCATGCTATGGGGTATCCCCTTGGCCAGTTTGGCTCAGCTCTCCTAGCTGTGCTCTCTGGTGGTTTCTTGTGTACCTGCTCACTTGCAGAGCATGAGAAACTGGAAAGTTCATGACTTTGATTAGCAGTACTTGGCAGTAACTAAAATATCTGTGTGTTACCAATATTATTCTCATCCTAAATCCAAAAAAACAGCACTTTACCGGCTGCTTAGAAGAGAATGCACTCTATCCCAGCCAAACCCAGTATTTTTGCCAAAAGGATAGTGGTAGGTAGAGAAAGTATCCTAGCATTGGTCTCACTAGAGCTACAAAATTCTTCCTGACCTTTAATAACATTTTTGGCTTCGAGAGTTAAAATAATAATTTTTACCTATTGTTTTTAATTACTATTTTGTTACTCTTGCAGTTTGTTATGGGAAGAAACTTTGTTAGATGCGTTGTTAAGTTTTTCTACCACACCCAAAGGACTATTTCTGCTTCATAGTACAGGCGCCATGAATGACTGTGTGAATTTTATGTTTAACAGTTTATCAAAAAAAATCCAGGTAAGCATTGCAGAGTCTTTATGGTTTACTTTTTACTGTAAAGTTTGAAGTGCTAGAAAAAAATACTATTTTCTTTTCTTCTAAGTGCAAATTCTTTTAGACAATGTTAGTAGGTCATGTTGAAATCTAAATATGCTAGACAAAGCTCAAAATATAAACAAAAAATCAGATAATGTGCATTTTTAGGACAAAAAAAAGTAATGCCAAAGGCATCCTACTGAATGTGTACAAGAACATTATAATACTAATGGTTTTATTTGCTTATATTGCATGTCTCAACCACAGTATTTTGTGTTTAAATTTTTATAAGATATTTTATAAAGATGTTTGGTTAGGAATCTGACCCTGGTAAGTCTGTAGAGGGTAATATCTATGAACTGTTCAAGTCTAAGCATAAAGTGGTTTAAATTCTGTAAACAAGGGTAAGAAAGATCAATATTTAAGAGATCATTTGAGAGTTTCATGTCTTCTGAATTACCTACACTGCACTTTTATACTTCTTATCAACAGACAAATGAATATGAAGACTTTGGTAATAGAGTCATTGTTACTCAAATGGCAACAACACCAATGGCTGCAGTAGCTCTGCAGAATTCAGGTAAATTGAAGAATGATGTTATTATGAGTAATTGCATGCTGTAGTCTTGCATTTTGGAAAAAGACAGTGAGAAAGATGTTAGAAAAAGATCAGCTGTGTAAAATAATTACACAGTACTAACAAAAACTCCTAAATGTTTGTTAATTTCTTCTTGGTGGAAATTAATTCTCTACAGCTTTCAAGTCATTCATTAATCTTGATGCAGCATTTTAGGTTGTTTTTTTTCCCTCTGATATTATACAAAATTTTTACTTCACTAGTTTGATTTCCAGAAATTTTCTGTATGTGTGTGAAGACATTTGTGCTGTTTAAAAATAAGTTTGCAGGTGCTTCTTATTGATCTGCAGATCAGAATTAATATCTGTTGATGTCTTTAATTTGTATGTACATTTCCATGGTTACTGACTGTCAAAGGGTGAGGAATTGCAAGGGCCTAAATGTCATTCATGCAGTTACATATTAGTGAGATGTAAATGAGATTGTGCTACAAGAAGAATTGTCAATTCAGACAACATCCCTTCAGAGTGAATTTCAGATAACCCAACTGTTACCATATCATCAACAGTCCAAGTATCCATTATATTAAAACTAGAATTTCATCAATAAAATTAAGATAGTGTCTTAAGTTGCTAAAGTCCATGAGGTACCAAGGTTGCAAATCATCTCTCTGAGTATCTAGAAGTGGCTGGTGTTGACTGAAAGACTGTCAGAAAGGCAGGAAAATTCTGCCACTCAAGGAAACTGATGAGTTTTTTAGTTACTATTTATGCCTCTGGGATTTTTCACAAAGCAGGGAGCAGATCTACCAAGGAGTTGCCTATCTGTCCTGTTGTAAGGTTTTCAGCCAAATTACTTCTTATAGCCTTTTTATACCCTTTGGTGTCAGAGACAAATTATATACCAAAAATATTCAGCATTGATTTTCAGCCCTTACATTTGAAGATTTCAGAGTTAGATAACTCTTTCCTCTTCTATTTAAATATTTAACTTTTTAAATTTTAACAATTTAAATTCAGCTAGTAGTGCTTCTCTTAAAGTTGGGGGATTTCTTGTCCTTTTCGCTGTGGTATGTTTTAATTTATTAATGAGTTATAGTGAATCTGTATTTTAGAACCACAGAGACAATACTAGCTAATCTTTAATCCATTGCAGTTAACTTTTTAAAGAAGGTCAGAAGCTCATTTACATAGAAGATATATAAATACAATTCTACTCTAGTGTAATGATCTTTGGAAACCATTGCTGCAGATTGTAGATAGAACAAAAGCAGACTGCTCTAGAAAGGTCGTTTTGACTAAAGGATTGAGAATAGAAGGGATAGTAACCCTAAGGCAATCTGTGTTGTGAAATTTCAGCCTTCAGCATAGAGAATTTTGTCAATCTTTGTTAGAATTGTGGTGTAAAATATTTCTATTATGAACCTCATGATTAGAAAAAACATTTGTTTCAGGCTTTATAAAGGCACTTGTAACTGAATTATGGGCTCTTTTGGAGTGTGGAAAAGATGATTTGAGAATAACTCAACCAAGATCTACTCCAGTTGATCCTATTGACCAAAGTTGTCAGAAGGTGAGAAATTATTTAATCTTATGCTTTTGTATGGAAAGAAGCAGTGCTGTGGTTCAGATAGAATGATACATACCTTTCTGTAAATTTTTATTACAAACTAAACCTGCTTCTTGGCACATGTGTCAAAATTGGTATAATACACTAGTTAAATGATGGCTGATAAAGGATTCTTGTGTTGCATGGCAGTTCACAATGCCAAGGATTAACTATTAGATAATGAATAACAGTCATGACAAAACTAAGTCTTAAATGCTAGCTATCAGTTTATGTCCAGATTACCATATTAAAATCAGGAAGAGTGGTGCATTTAGAGTATTTTTTGTCTCTAGATTTTAGAATTATGTGGTAATGAAATACTGTAATTTTCAAAATTGCTTGTCTATCTAATTTGATACATAATAGATATTTCAGACACTACTGCCCTTTTAGATTACATGGATGCCTATCAGGGTATGCAGTCTTATTTAGGGCAGGTCTCTATGTTAAGTTCAGCTTATGAAGCGTAAGAACAAAGGTAATGTAAATGACAAATAATTGCTAACACTTACTTGGTTGCCCTTAACTGATTAATATTCCCTGCTTTCTCTCCTTTTTTTCTTTCTCTAGTCTTTTTTGTTTCTGGTAAATGTGCTCACTTATCCAGCAGTTTTTGAACTCCTGAGTAAACGAGATATAGCAAATAAACCTATGTACTCATTCCGTGAAATACCCACAGATATAATTGTAAGTATTTTGAAAGAAAAATACTTCTGTGAAGAAATTTTTTTCCTGAGAAAACGTTATTGTTATAAAAGAATAAATTTTTTTCTTATTGAAAGATTTTGAATTTTTCTGCATTTTGTATTATATGCAGCATGAGGGCAGTATATGCACATAACACTTCATATTAACTTAAATTTTCATTTTGAAATCTTAAAGGTAATATAAATTTTGATGCCTGATTTAAAGATCATCTTTCATCACTTGTGTTAGAATTGTGTTTTCCCACAGAAAAAATGTAACATAAATAGACATGTTTGTAGGTGCATACAGGTACATACAGGAAAATGTTGGAAAATATGTATATACTTGTATTTTTTACAGCATTGCTCTATCACATTATCTGTGGATTTAAAAAGAATAAAGGAAAAAACCAAAACAAAACAAAATGAAAACACAAAAGCCACATACCTCAGGCTATTTTTTTTTAAAGGACACATGATTCACACTAAGGAAAAAATCATCAATTGGAAAGCTACTGGTTAAGCATACTTCAGGAAAAAAGCTTCACCATTTCTGTATTTAGTATTATTTTGTATTCAATCATTCTACTCCAGTCAGTTACAGCTTTTTCTCATCTACAAAGCACAGACAAGTAATTTGTGACCTTGTGTGGCAGTTAGAATCAGGTTTTTTTTCTAATGAGTTAGCATTTCAAATTGCTGTTACGTTGAAGTGTTTGTTTTGCACAGGCTCTGGATTGGTGATATTTTAAGTTGTTGAGACAGAGTTTGTCATAATAGTGTATGTTATATTTGGAAGGGATTTTTGAGTTCTTTTTTGCAATATTGTTTTGCTGATTTTGGGAAGAAATTGCATGATAAATTTAATTTTTCCAATCTACTCAGTGCTAGTGTGTTTACTGAAAGATAGCTTTGTTCAGTTATCAAGGTTTTAAGGAACTGGGAGTGAGGAAGATAGATCTATGCTGAGAATGAGAAATATTTGAGAGCATTCAAATTGTGGTAGATCTCAAGAATGATTTTTGTAACTTTTGAAAGCCAGTGTTATTTTAGCTTTTGAAGTGCTTGAGTATTTTTATGAAATTTTCTAGGTTTCTAGAAATGCCAGTACTGATACAATTGTTCAAAGTTCCCTGGGGAGATAAAGATATTTTGGATGAGGTTTGTCTCAACAACTACAGTGTAGCAGTGGGTTTTGTAAGCCTAGCAATCCATTTGTAATCCATTTGCATCCAAGATTATGTAGTTAACAGAAATGAAATAGTCAGATCCTCTAACGTTAATTTAACTTATAATGGCTGAGACTAAGTACCCAGAAAACTTCTGAAGTTAAGAGATACAGGTTTGTTATAACCATGTTTTTGGGCAGTGATTGCAGAAAGCAAAAGGTAAAAGATTTTGACCAGATTTAATTACAGGAAGCAAAGTAAAAGCAACTTCTCTGCCACTAGAAGATCTGATTGGAAGAACTAACTACTTTGTTTCCCTTGTTTTTTCTCTATTTCTGAATTGTGTCACATTGCCACAGAATGTGGCTTGTTCATGCTAAACTGTATTTGCTAATGCACAAAACTTAATCGTTTTTGTATATCCTTTATTTCTTGAATACCTGGGATTTAAAAAATTTTTACCTCCGTTGTATTTTTATCTGACCAGCTGTATCACTGGTTGAACAGATTATCAGTTGAGCTTTTACGACTTTTAACTGAAGACTAATCAGGTTTTTTTATTTGTGCCCTTAGGAAAATTTTTATTAATTCATGCAAGATTTCTCTGTACTGTGTTTGGCATGTAAAATTATTTTAGAAAATGGAATCCATAAGTGAGGGTTCTTCTCCCTGCCTTTAGTCTATGAAGGTTTCTGCAGTATATATATATATATATATATATGTTCAGTGGAATCTAGTTTGGAAGGTACCCTCTAGACCTGTAGCATTGTAAGATATTAGAAAAGGTGATTTTCTTCAGTGATTTTAAAGAATCTTAGATGGTTTGTTTTAGGCATTCAGAGTAGATTATATCTGACCTGTAATATTTAAGCTATTCTCTGCAGCTGAGCAGAGTAGGTCTATCCACACATTTTTGGGTGTAATCTTGTGTTAGACCTTGTTCATTATCTTCCTTCCTAAAGTCCCAAATCAGAGCTTAGTCTCCTTTCTCAGTAGTCCTCTCACTGTGCCTGGTCTTTGTACTCTCTTGCAGCTCCAAGCTTTGATTTATAAATGAGAGAAGGAAGTTGATGCCAGAGAAATATCCCTTAGCATTTAAAACTCTGTGTGTACAAATATCTAAAAAAATCTTAAATCCCAAACAAATCAATTGGTTGCATTATCATTTTTATGGACAGCCTTGAGGTCTAAGTTGAGTTTTTTAATAGAGAATTTTATTGTAAGTGTACTAAGTGAAAAAAGCAGTCTCCCCCACCGTCACAAAAATCTAATAGGAAAAATATGCTTTCACTGTATTTTAAATGAGTACATTCTATGAAGACAGTTTACTTTGAAAAGTTCTAATCTTTTTTTTCTACTATTGTGAGTTTTACTCTTGATTTCTACTTTTCTTTGTTGAAAACCAGAGCTTTTGTGGATTTCACGAAAGTATGGGTTTTAACTTTCCCTTCATATCTTACTGAAATTACTCAGTGATCTAATTAGGTAAATAATAGCTCCCTCTGCTGTCTCTGAAACTGTACTTCTCAAATGTGGAGAAAATAAAACTTTGTATTTAATCGAGATTAAAGAAAGCTCATAAGGATTTTGTAATCTGTTTCTTCTAGCCATAGCATAGCAATCTGTCTCTGACATGATACCATCACTGAATGTTTTTGTTCATTCCTTAGTTTTTTTAATGAAATAATTTCTTCAGAAGCAGTTTGCATATGCAGCATGCCAGAGGGGAAGAGAATTAGATTGGCTTTGTGGAAGAAGTGAGAAGTAGCCACAAGTCATTGTCTGTCATCCAAGATGAAAGGTGTAAGCCTCAACAACTGAGCCAAGCCTTGCTATACTGAGACTAAATGGCTGTGTCTTGAAGCATGTAGTACTAGCCAGTGTGAGAAAGGGTTATTGTACTAAAGAAGTTGCTGTTCTCTTCATTAAAATAGACATGTACACATTGCAAGCATACAAAAAATATTTAACTTTTTTTTGGTGGTTTAATAATAAAGAACTAGGATAGTTGATATGCAAAGATCTTTTTTTATGTTTATATTTTTAAACAGAATTTTTTTTCTAACCTTCTACATGGGTAGGAAATTTTTACCGTTTTCCTCTTCATTTTTGCAGTTGACTGTTGATAATAATTACATACAGTAAATAATTTCAGTATGTATTTTAATAATAGGTTTCATTCAATAATAAATATCCCTATGAAACTATGATGTGCATAAATTATAAAAGCATACATGATTTTTTTCATTTCTCTTCCTTTGACAGGATATCATTGACAGGCTTATAATTTTGAACTCGGAAGCTAAAATTCATTCCTTATTCAATTATGAACAATCCCATATATTTGGTCTGAGGTAAGATGCAGGTTTTTTATTCTCTGGTCACATTAACTAAATAGGATATAATATGCTTGGATGTGTTACTTCTGACAAGATAACATTGTTTGGGTTTTATTATTTATAAAGGTGAAATTCCCCCCTTTTTTACTATAAGAAGATTAAATGAAAAATAGCCTACAAAATGAGAACAGTGGTGAATCTAATCCTATTATCTGTAAATGGATATATTGTAATATGAGAAGCAGTGATAGAAATTGCATGTTATTTTACCTACTTGACTGTAAAAAACAAGTTGTACATTTGCTGTACACCAAAATACTAAAATTATTTTTACTATGTTTATGTCACTTTGGTTTATGTAGCCTCCCTGTACTTATAATTGGTTTTTTAAGTATTTGTTTAATTATCACCTATTTCACAAACTTAGTTTGAAGACTGTAATATTTCATTCCAAATATTTCTAGAACTTGAAGGTACACTTAAAAGATGCTTACACTGTTATGCTCATATATTGAAATATTCAGTGCTTTATAATTTAAACAGAGAAATTAGTTTCTGCAGTTTTATTCTGTTTTCCAACAATGAATACATAAATCCTTGAATTCACATTTTTTTTAGGAATTTATTTTGGACAGTTGAGATGAAAATCTATTGGACTGTACTTCATAATATGGAAAACTTTGATAGCCTTGCTTGAGCAAGATATAGCCCAACTGATTAAATTCTGAAACTACCTTTTTGCAACCATATTTGTACTTTGATATCAGAGTAAAATTATTTCATAGTATATATGAATAACTGTAAGATACAGTATACTTTGTTGATAAGGATGAGCATAGAGGAGATGAACAATGGCAGAAATTGGAGTTGGGAGATATATGACTGGGACTTATAAATCAGAAGTTATAAATGCTGCTTTGGAGGAAATCACTAGTTTATATAGGAATGAGAAGTCTTAAGATGAAATTTGAAAACTAAAATATTGTTCTTCATTTAGGATTAGATTGAGTCCATAGAAAGCTTGACAGAACTTCCATTGATTTAATTAGGATGAAGAGAAAATAAGAAGTTTTACAGTTTAAAATAAATAATGGTCAGGCTCCCCAGGGAAGTGGTTAAAGCACAAAGTGTAACAGAGTTCATAAAAGTATTTGGACAACACTCTCAGGCATGGGATGTGATTCTTGCATTGTCCTTGTGGTGAAGGGCCAGAAGTTGTACTAGATCCTGATGAGTCCCTTGACTACAGACACCCATGTTCTATAAAAGGAACCTTTCTTTGTGTAGTTGGTTTGCTCCTTGACCAAATTCCATCAAGAGTTCTAAGTTCAGCAGGAGTAAGACCAAATAATATTAGATGCTTAACAGATCTGAAAATGTGGGAATTAGAGCAAAATATCTACATTTCTCTTTGCTGTTATGTAGAAGTTAAATATTTAGGTGTTTGTGATAATTGCAGCATTGAAAAACAGTATGATTTTGTGAAGCATGTCTAGAAAATTTTCTGCTAGACTTAATACCAATACTGCAGCCAAACATAAATTCTTTAAATTATTCACAGATCTACACAGCCATACCCTATTTATATATGTGGTGCACCCAGAGCTGAGTGCTGAACTTCAGATTAGTTTAACTTACAGGTTATACTGTAAAGTCCTGCTTTTGTTGTTCAAAGCAGTTACACATTTATTTATTTGATTGTTAAACAACTTCTGCAATTTAGAATATTTTTCTTATTGTGTATACTGAGCTTTAGTGTCTTAAATTATTTTAGTTATTAGCTGTGTAATTGCATATAAAACATAAAATACATAGGTATTTCCACAGCCTGTTTAATCCAAAATGCACAGGTGTATATATTTATGTTTGTAGTGTTATTATTGCATTCTCTTGTGGATGATTTTCTTCATTTTGAATAAGTATGAATTCTGAATTATAAATTTAAAGACAGAGGCTCTACTGTCAACTTCTCTTTTTAAGCTTAAACACTCTGTAAAGTGGTGTGCATGCAGTAGAAATCAAAGGGAAAACATAGGGAAGCTAGATATGCTGTGCATAGCCAATATCTCCTCATCTTTAAATGTCTACCACCAAAGACCACAGTGGTGGTCTGTGAAAGGTGCATTCATATAGATAAGGGTTTCTGTGGTCAAGGGCAGAATACTAAATTCCACCACAAGCTGTAGCTAATTTCAAATCTGTGGTTCCTTTGGTTTTCTTGTGGTTATTTTTTGGTTTTGTTAGGGTTTGTTTGTTTGTGGTTTTTTGCTTGTGTTTTAATTTTTTAAGTTCTCAGAATTATCTTGGCCTAGGATGGTTCTTCAGTAGTTTCAGAGACATCTCGTTGCATTAATTGCATCTATTGTGTGTTTCTGTGATGAGATTTGTTCACTTGAAGGTCCTTTTAAGCTAACTGAAAAAAAAAAAGGGTTATTATCTTTATAATTATTATATATTTATTTATTAGAAGTGAAACATATTAGGCAAGAAGTTGGAGATAGGAATAGAAATGTGCAACTATATAGACAGTCCCTAATTTGTGTATAGAAAGATTTTCAAACTGTCAGTTCAGCTTTCAGCTTCAAAGCAGATTTACACTTACTTACAATTGATAAGTCTCCCAGTTGGCCAATATCAGTTGAAAAAAGAACACTGAAGGCTGTCTCAGCCACTCTTTTGTACAGGTTGAAAATCTGGATGCACAGGAACTAATGCAGAAATTCCCAGTGTTTTTTCTGGTTTATGAGGCTCTGAACTTTGTTCTGAGCACAAATCTTACAGAAAGGAAATTCAGAGCCATAATTAAAGAAATATTTTTTTAACATACTAAATACAGAGTATTTTCTGAACTTACTGATCAACTTTATTTCTCTGATACAAGTGTACCCATTGATCTGATTTTAAAAGATATTGCATATCAGAAATAACAGTATTCTTTAAATGTGTCACTAGAAGTCTTTACCACCTCTCATTTAAGGCCAAGCTCTTTGAATGTCTAACTTACATTAATAAAGGAATCTTTCAGATTAATGATTTTATATATTATCAACACAATTTGTCTAGTATTTCAGTACAGTAAATATATTCATGGGTTTTGAGTTTTTACAGCCTGCCAAGAAATTATATGCATAATATATATACTTTCAAAGTCTTTGCCTGAAGCATTATCCAGGCATTTACATATTGCTATTCCCTCTGTTCAGAAAATAAGTTTCCTGTGAATGTTAGTGACACCTTTTTGTTAGCTGAATTAGTGTGGCAGAGTAAAAATTTCTACCTTTGATAAACAGGTTCCTGTCTAAACAGTTATCAATACCCCAAAATAAATTCAAAGATACTCAATTAGTGTTGACTTGAGTGAAAAACAGGAGAAACAACATTATTGAAATATGCATAGACTGTGGGCAGTGGGAGGGGATAAGAGCCGGTTTACAGGTAGTTTGCAAAAAATTCCCTTTACTTAATAGAATACTTTTGTAACACACTGTTCCTGGAATCTCTTTTTTGTGGATATATGATAATATGGCAGTATGGGGTATTTGAATACTTTAAAGAGTAGACCTGTTCTTTCTTTGGTTTTCTTAGTTTTTCCCCACTGTCTTATTTTGACCATAAGTCAATAAAACTCTTAAATACTGTGAAGTTAAAAGGTCTTTTGTATGTATATGCTGAATCAGAAGAATATTTTTTAGCTCCGCACTTGTTCACTAAGGTGCTAATGCTAATGAGCATCAAGCAACAAGGAGAGCACTCTGTTAAAGAGTTTGGCCTTCTGCAGGGAAATACCTGGAAAATTCTAAGGGTAAACCCTTTTCCTTCAGATATGCAGATTGTGACTGTTTAATTTGAAGGACACAATGTGTTTGCCTATCATAAGAGATATCTGAAGATAACCCATTTTGTAGAAGTGTAATATGAACTGCAATGAGAAATAGATTTATTTTAGGCTTTTGTAAGGGAAGGCTGAAAACACAGTTTTTATTACAATGCTCTATGTGAATAAATGCATTTCTGTTTCCGTGGAATTATAGAAAATTGTAAATATTAGTCTAAGTCATACGCTCATCTCTATCAGCCTCAGGATTGTAAAGCTACTGTCTGCTGCAAATATAAAAAGATTATTGGCTTGTTATTTTCAGGTTTGTGTAATAGGGATTTTGACATAGTTAGGTCACATTTTCTTTGTTATATGAAATATCATGGTAAATATATTTTTTATGTTTTCTCGCTTACCAAATGAGTGCAGAAAATGATGAAAATGCAGTGTATCTGTTTCTGTTGCCCTGAAAAACTAGCAGAGAAAGATTTAGGGAATAAAATTTAAATGGCTTATACTATAGTGACATCAAAATCAATCAGCATCTTGAAATTTGCCTTAAAGCAGTATGTATCTGTCAAAATTTCATCTAGAACACTTCAGTGAAATCCAGGTGAATAAATTAAATGAAAAGAAAAAATGTTAAGAAAAAGATAACTTGGTGAGTTTAGGAAATACAAATAATAAACACCTCCATTACTTTTGTCAGCTGCATTGTAAACAACCCACCTTATCTTATTGAATTTTAGTAGTGAGGTAGCCTGAGCATATGAAATAGGTCATTCCTTAATTGTATTTGCATTATGTGTATTGTTAATTAAGAGAATGTGTGATTTTAATGATTTCAACACAATGTTGTTTATATTTAGTCTCTCTTTTCCTTTTTCTTTATTTGAAAGCATTATGAGTAGAAGAATCCAAAGGTAAAAGGAGACAGGGTATGGGTTAGATTAGTGACTACTAGTGATGGGGATTTGCAACAGGATTATGTGACAGTGCTTCCACATTATCTGTGATTATGTAGTTACATAGTTAATACAATTTTTTGCTAATTTTATACATTAATAGAAGTTTGTTAGGGTTAGTAATTTAAAACAAATAATTATTAATAAAATAGGAACTGTATATTCTGTGATCAGATGTCACTTGTTGACTTTTTTTTTTTCTTTACTTAACTGAGGGAAATTAAAACTCATCAATTCTGAGTCCTCTAGACTGGCAAGTGATGTTCATGAAAAGCATTTTTATTTAGCTAGGGAAACTTTTTATCATTAACAACCACATTACATGTCATTTGTAGGTACATTGGATAGCTGAAGCAGGTGCTCTTTTGAAATTTTTTTCATGTGGAAAACATTGTAAGGAATACATTAGTCTTTGAATTTTCTTTCTGGGAAAAACATGACTGCCCTGAGGTAGTACCTTCCAGCACCCTAGGCACTAAAGGTATAACTTCTGTAGCCAGAAATTCATATCTTTTTCAAAACCATGCACTTCCTTCAGTGGAACAATTAGAAGCCTCAATCCTTTAGCTAGACCAAATGCAGAGGCATTCTCTATCTGCTCATTGCTAATGCCTTATGTTCAGTTTGCAAAGGCAGTGTGCAAAGCTTTGTTTGGCTGAAGCTTCCAAATGTCCTTCATGTTCTAACACTAACTGAGTGGCTTTTGACTTCTTTAGGGTTTTTTTGTTAGCCATTGCCTTTGTCTGCTGGTCTGGTACTTGATAATAATTGCCATTCACTGTATGGATCCACGTCCTTATTGATGTTTAGGCTCTTACTCAAAGCATAATAAAGAATAAATCAAATTGTTACAATCTTACCTTGTCCCACAGCTGAGCTCTCATGCTACGTATTTTGCACTGGCCTGATTCAGCCATGCCTATATCTGTAGAAGGCAGTAACTACAAGCCAAAAGAAAAGCTTTTGCTAAAGACCAGTTTAGTTCTCTATGCCAGCATCATGTTACTGTCTGTAGCAGTGATGTAAGTATTTTGTGTTTAGTTGGCCATTTTATGCTGCGTGTACACATCTATTACTGAGATTACAGTATAGTTTACTTTGAATGAGCTGCTTTATTTTTTCTATATGGTGGAAATTTCATGCTGCTTATAGCATAAAGTTTTATTTTGTATTGCTGGACTGGGGTTAAGTATTTTAATAGCACCCCACATGTGTGCTTCGTTTTGAATTTGGGACTAAAAGTGTATTGATAGCACAGCATGTTTCTACTGATGCTGTGTAAGAACTGCTCAGCAACAGAGTTCGCTTTTTTATCAACAATACCCAGCAAGTTGGCTAGGAATGTGCAAGAGTTTGGGAATGAAAACAGCTGGGACAGCAGACCTGAACTGACCAGAGAAATGTTTTATACCATACAATATCCCTCTCAGTAATAAAAACTGAGGGGCTTGGAGGTTAGTCTTGCAGGTCTCATTGGTCAGAGACTGGCCAGGCGCATGTGGCAAGGGAGTGAGCGGCTTAGTTGCTGACTGGTGCCAACCCACCACAGACTGCTACAGCTTCTGTGTTCAAGAATAGTATCTTGTATCTTTCACCACCAGCTGAGCATTAGCAGATATGCCTGCAGTGAGGATAGAACATCAGAGTGGCTTTGGAAAGAACATACATTATGAAAGTAAGGAAGAATAGTGTATAGTGGTGTAGTGTGAACTACAGAAAAATAGAATTGGGTTTACCATAATAAGAGTCCTGTTTGAGAGAAACGTGGTTTGACATTGGGAAAAAGAACAAAGGACATAATGTTTTGTGTTCTTAAAAGGAACTCGTATAAAAGGTATTGAGATGCTAATAAGCTATCCTCATAATACACATTTTTAGCAACTCAGAGTAAATAATGGGCAGTTTAATTATATTATTTTCAGGCAAAAAAAATTAGAGAGACAACATAAAAATAGCAAGGTTTATTTACTTGCTGATTTATCTTCCATAAAGGACCTTTTGTTCTGTCATAATTAAAGAAGTCATTATGATTCCACATACCAAAACCAAGAAGATAGCCTGTGGAACAAAGCACTAGTTGAAATACCTTCTTTTAGATTAGGATTTTCTACAGTGAAGTATTAGTTGTGAAATCATAGTTGAAGAGGCAGAATCCAGGGAGCACCTTTCAAGACAGACAGATAGGGCAGGAAACGCAGAACAGAATTACTTCTAGAATATTTTGACAACTATGATATGTATTTTGATATTTCTGAATTTCTTTGAAATTACTCTTCTATAAAGGACTGCCTTCAGATAATCTTTTATTTTATATGCAATGCAGTTTGTTCCTGGGTGTATGGTATATCATATAAGTAGTGATCACAGAATCGTATAATCAGAATTGAAAGGGAAATGGAAGATTGTGTAGTACAACTGCTCTGCTCAAAGTGGGTTCAACTACAGAGCACTACTCAGGGCTGTGTCCAGTCTGGTTTAGAATATTATCAAGGCTGGTGATCCTGCAGCATCTCTGGGCAATTTGTTCCACTATTTTACCACCATCAGAGTATATTAAAATGAAATTTCCTGTCTTTCAGTTCATGCCATTTACATCTAATCCTTTCACTGAGTATCACTGAGAAGAGTCTGACTCAGTTTTCAAACCTTCCTGTTTGATATTTATATACATTGACAGGATGTCCCCTGAGGAGCCTCTTCTCCAGACTGAGCAGTCATAGCTCTCTCAGCTTTTCCCTATGTCAGATGGCCCAAGCCTTAGTCATCCTCTTGGCCTTTTGCTGGACCTGCTCTAGTGTGACTGTGTGATGCTGTTACTGGGGAGCCCAGAACTAGACCCAGCACTCCAGGAATGACTTTACCAGAACCAAGAGAGGGGCAGGGTCACCTCCCTCAAGCGACTTTTGGCTTCATTACACAGCCCAGGAGGGCATGTTTCTGGCTCATGCCATCAGGGCCCCCCAGTCCTTGTCTGCAAAGCTGCTTTCTGACTGATTGATCCCCAGACTATATTGTTGCATTGGGTTCTTCCCAGCTACAAGAACCTTATCAAAGTGTATCTTCCAATTTTCAGCACTGTTCAGGTTGGGAATTCTGTCTTCTGCTTTCCAAAGAAATTTTTAAAACATTTCTCAGAAATATATGCTTTAATCTTATTGTGTTATATCTTAAAAGGTTTCATACATTCTCATAAGCATGTACTTCTTCTAGATGAGATACTGAGATGGGCAGTCTGTACCAGTTCTTATGTTCCAAAAACAAACAAACAAAAAACTTCATAGCTCTATTCAAACATGGTTACAGATATACTCATTATAAAGCGTGTTTGTGGTTTTTAATTGTAAGCTTTATATGTTTCTGACTTTGGAAGGTAATTAATGTAATATCACATTAAACCAAATAACCTGTACTTTCATAATAGCATTTTTAAATATATTTTTCTGTATAGGTGAAAACTGAATTTGAGTAGCTTCTCACACTAGATCTTGTATATCTTGTCATTTATTTCACCACAGTTCCATATATCTAATTTTATTTGCTCATGGTTGGTTGTTCTTGTTTGGTTTTTTTTCACTCTGCCTTGCCTACCAGAAGAGATATTATAAAGCATTCTCAACTACTAGTCTTCTCCCAAGTGGTTTTTAACTGCTGGAAACAGGTCTTTGCCATTTATTGTACTTAACAGAAAACATTATCCCTCTTCATAATAGTTTCAGTGCTATTATCTGGGTTTTTTCTTCTAAATAATAAAAATTATAGTTGAACTGTCATTTCTTCTGTAACTTAGAAAAGTACTCAGAACAAACTGATGTCACAAAAGAGTTAATGTAAAAGAAATAAAGCTGAAGAGTACTGAAACTGAACAGATCAAGTTGTTTTAAAAAAACAGGAAAAAAACTGAGACACATTCTCATCTTGACTGTTTAATCCTTGGCCACAACTGTATGAATTTTCAGGTGTTAAATTATTGAGAGAATGGCTTATGAATTTTGCTATTGTCAGAAATAGGAAATTCATATTTGGAAATGTATTAGGAATTACAGGGAAGAAAATAAACTTTGACTAACAGACTATGAATTTAAAACAGTGTATTTTCTGGTTCATATCAATTCTTATGTGAATGCAAAATATAATGATGATCAGCCTTAATTTATGTTGCATTTTATGACTGTGTTAAAGTAGGAAATAAAATCAGTAACAAGAATGTTTAGTTACATTGTTTTCCTTGAACTAGAAGCCCTCAATGAAATTATTATGTTGTGATTTTAGAATGAATAGATTACTTAAAAGTAAATGTAATATGATTTGGATTGCTTTATTTCAGATTTATATGAAAATATATTTGAGTACTTACCCTGTTAATTTACCCCAAAGTTACGGAAGAAAATTGTATATAATGTACTGTCTTGCACATTTCTTATTATTAATTTCATTTCCTATTTGTGTTTCTCTAAAAAAACCCTACCCAGCAGATTTATTGGTTATGTTACATGTTGAATCTTTTATTGCTTTTGAACTGTGTTAAATTTGCTTATGCAGAAGGGCTTAAAAGTCTTTTTTTCTAAAGGATATATATTTTTTTTTACCTCCCTGCCTTCCTCCTCCTTCAGACGACCTAATTCTGAGTTGCCTTACCAGCCTATTATTGTATAATTTCCTTACATTTCATATGGAATGTCTTTCTAAGCCTGTATCGTTTTTGTTACACTGTGGTGTAAACTCAAAAGCAGCCTGAGCTGACCAGTGAGTTTTTCTCTGGTTGCTCAGTGCACATGAAAAAACTGTTGGGAACCATTCCCTGTTTGCTTAGGGTTGTGTCACCTTAGTGGTTAAAAGGGATATAAAAGAGTGTTCCTAACTTAGTTGTGTCTTGTTTTTTTTCAGACACTTCAAGTGGATTTTTTTTGTTGTTTTTTCCTCCCCTTCCTTTCCATTGCAAGATCTCATAAACATTTTCACCCTTGTCTTTCTGTGCGTTACTGGAGTCCCGACTGATGTGTTGCCATTTCAATGTGTCCTTCTGCAGGCTGTTAAATGTGCTGTGCTGTGAGCTCAATACCCTTTTACTCTTGGAGACTCAGTATAAGGTGTCTCAAGTTTTACTAACTGCTCAGGAGGAAAATGTCACAGAAACTTCAGAAGGACCAGGGTAAGAAATGATTGATGTAAATGTTATTTTAACTATCAAACTCTTCTTCTGAGAACAAGTACATGAATGCCTTAGTGGCTTTAAACATACAAACGCTTTCACTTAAGCTGACTTCTAATGTCCTAATGTAAGTTTCCCTACATGCAGGATTGCCAGCAGTATTAAATTATGAAAAGATGCAATAGCTTTCTCTTTCTCCCATGTTCACCCCAATAGTGTAAGAAATAAAAAAGGAATTATTTTTCTGCTTTTTAGTTATATTACTCTTAAGTTGTTTCTTAAACAAAAAGGGTTTAAGACTTGTGTATGTAGGTATTTTATTAAAATTTTAATTAAAATTTTAATTTAATATTTTTTAATGCTATGTATTTAATATAAAATCAGGGTATTGGTTTAATGTTAATGAATTAAAGGCATCATCAGTACTTTGAAGTTTTTATGGGTGAGTATTTTTGTTGTTGTTTTTATTGTTTGGTTTGCAGCTTTGTCAACACTCCAACAGTTTACTTGTAGATCAGTCAGCTCTCCAGCTTCTATGACTTTCCACTGCTGTCTTTTAAAAGAAATTGCACAGCACATCCTTTCAAAAGGAAAAGAGTATTTTTGGGACAGAAGAGGACAGTCATTTAGTTACAGACATTTTTTTCCTTTCTCACAGCATGCTGAGTTTTAAGTATTTTCCTGTTTGTTATATGGGACCATTACAGAATGTAAGTCAAACAGTGTGGGTGATGATAGTTATTTTCTATTTGAAGATGAAACCTGCTATTTCCCTACTAATGCTTAATAACTTAATAACTTTTATTGAGAAACTTTGTGAATTTTTACTGCATTCAGAAATCCTGTACCTTGGGCTGCACAATGACTTCATACAGCATGTTGTCTGTGTTTCAAATAGTGAATAACCCTGCTTATTTGTGACAGCAGAAGTATACTGGTAGGCCAATTAAGGAGCAAATTTTGATGGTAGATTAACTGTCACTGCCCTAATTATATAATTTTTACGTGACATAAGAAAACTTGTGGGATTTTCTACTCTTCTGGGTCTGGTACTTGCTCAAATGTTTCTAATCAGGTAGGGAAGCACAAAGTTAGAACAATGTTTGGAGACATCTCAAAATGCTTCATGTTTCTGTTTATTTATGCCTATATGTATTCCAGGCTGTGTTTTAACTCCAGTATATTTCTCAAAATATTCCTGCTTCTTTAATTTTTTTTTAAATTAAATAGTCAGTTCATCTAAGTTTCTAATTTTGTTGTGTTTTGTTTGGGCTTTTTTTGCACAGAGTTTTTATAATTGATGGTCTGTCAGTGGAGAGAAACCATGTTCTTGTAAGGATAAATCTGATCGGAGGACCACAGGAAAGGATTTTGCCTTTGAGAGAATTAGATAAGGTTAGAACCTAAAGTTTACAAGTTTCTCTTTCTGTAACATCTGCCTTCATTAACTGAACATTTTTGCTGGTAATTCAGCATATGAAAAATTATTTAGCACCAGAACACCTTTGGCTTTATGAAGTGTTAACATTTTAAAGAAGGGATACACTGAGCAAATACATTGCTCCTGCTGTCTGGGGATTGTCATGTACCTAGGACATATTACATTCTGATGACATGTTTATTTTGCTCCATTTTAATGTTGCTTTTAAGCAAATACAATTTGTCTGTGATTTTTTTCTTTTACTTTTATATTTCTGTGTTTTCTTTACTAGCTTTCCATTTATCTTCATTGTATTTGATATTTTTTCCATGCTTGGATTTTCATATGCAGCATCTAATACGTGGAGCTTTCATTGATGTTTTAACAATGGAGTGTTTGTTAAGCAACTTATTTTAATGTTCTACTTCTCACTGGCTGTCAGTCTCATAAAGATGAAATGCAGATTACTGTCAGCACAACAAAGACACCTAAAGCAATGTATAAAGTTGGAAATACAATTTAGTAGGTTGTTGGGGATTTTTTTAATAATTTTTATAAAACTTCCAATTTCCTTTGTGGTTGAAAAAAGGAACTGTAAAATCAAAACTGTCAGTGGAATATACACCATAAAAAATTGTATTCTCAAATGCTATCTTTTTTTTTAGTTATAGCACATCTCATTGGAAATTGTAGTATCAAGCATAATTTTAGTGCATAAGCAGTAATTCTGGGAACTGTACCTTTGCGTGTTAATCGAGAAAAAGCTATTAATTTTTCTGCTAAATTAATTTGTTTCTGGTCCTGTTTTTAGGGCAGTGGTCTATATCCTTGGCCAATGTTTTCATCATTGCCTGTGCCAAAGTGCTATCTTGCAGAAATACCTAGGAAAGATGAATTCAGACAAGGTATGAAGAAAGCACACAAGCAGTGTAGATTTCATGAAAACATCTCAGTCAATTTAAAAAAAATTCTTTTTCCTTTCTCCCTGCACTCTGCTGCCCACCCTCACATCCCAGAGATTATAATCTCATTAAGTACTTAAGGTTATTTCAGTGTTGGCTGCAATTGTAGCTAAATAAGTTGGTTTGGTTTTGCTTGTTTGGCTTTGCGCAGCTGTCAATCTGCAAAGCTCTGTTTGGTAATCTAATTCTTATGCAAACTTCAAGATTAACCTCCTGGCTCGTCTCTGGTGGGTGACTCATAAGGTACATTTATATCATCTCTCTAGTAACTGAAGCAAGACAGTTTGCTTAAACTGCAGAGTTTTTTGTACACTATTTTCGTGATTCACATCCCTGTGTTTACAGAGCTTGGTGGTGTGTGAAATAGACAGTGCTTAGGATAGTTGGTTTCCACACTGAACATCAATTTGGAATGTGAGCAGACTGAAGAATCCTTTGAAGAACTACCTAGGCACAGCAGTTTATTTCACACAGAGAAACTGTTTTAAGGTTTTAGTTTGCATAGACAATGCAGAAGAATCTGGTCAGTGGTTTGGTAAATAAATAATTCATTGTATTTGTTCATGTTTACTATATCCCTGAGATGAACTTATTAGAAATTATTTGTGAATATCCTTAGCAGAGACAGATTTGCAGAAGTGATAGAAATTCTGCATGAACTGTGGACTATAAAATAGTCTGTTTGTATATATCTGGGTGAAAAAAATTTAAAAGGTGATTTCCTGCTCTGACCAGAGGAAAGGCCATATAAGTTATAAAAGAAGGAAGTTTTCTGTATCTTAGCTTTTTAATACTGTTCCAGGCTTCCCAAGGCAAGTTTCAGAAGACAGCAATCAGATAATGGTAAAGTGGGTGTCTTCAAGGAGGCAGTAGTACCACTCCTGGGCTGGAAACACATTTTGTATTGTTATTATTATTCTCATGACGTATTCAAAGGATCCCTGTGTTCTCCTGTTCAGAATAATTCTGTTGCTCATCATTACCCGGTGGGATAATGAAACTGATATTAGAGATGTCACTTTTGTGGATGAGAGCCAACTAAGAAAACTTGGGTAAAAACTTTGGCTAACAGTAAATCTGCTGAAATGAAGTTTCAAAGGTTTGCAAATTTTTGATGTTAATGGTAACAGAAGTAAAAGATTGTATAACTGCAAAATGAACAGAAGGTTTGGTAGTGGAGTCAAAATATTATGTGTTTCTTGTTTGAAAATAAAAGGGAAATAAACCATTGAAAGTGTTCTATTTCAGTACTAGGTTAAAAAAAACAACAAATCATTGAACTGTGAACATATGATTTGTCAGATTGAAGCTTTTAGGATATGTAAGTTATTTTGAAAGAAAGCCTTAGAATAAATAGATAAAAAAATAAAAGAATGAAATTCATAAATTGCTGTTGTAGTGCTTGCAAAAAAAGAAATCAAGAGCATGAATAGAAAATGCAGAATGTGTGAACTATATTTTTAAGCACTACGATATAGAAGTGATAGACGTTTTCTTTCACAAAGAGAGGTTAAAAATACGATTATGAGATGGATCCATGAGATACATTTATACAAGATCTTACAACTTTGTTGTGAATATTCAGAATGCATGTTGTGTGTTTGGAGATTATCTGGAGTTTAGAAAAATACTTGTTAAATTTTCATTCTGCTTTAGTGCAAGGAGATGGACAGGGTTCACACAGACTTTTGACTGGCAAGGGTTCTGCAGCCATGGTGTGAGTGGGAATGCATGACTGCTTCATTGTATCTGTTGACAAGGCTTGAAGGCCAGCTCAGTGTCTCTGGTTCCCTGAACCTGTCTGTGCTCAGATTTCATACTGTGGTATTTCATTATGTAACCTGTGAGGTATCATTCCAGTCCTCTTAATTTGAGTGTTTCTATGACATGAATAATTAAGACTAGTGGATTCTTAGTACTGTTAAAGAATGTATAGTTTCTTTGGCTGAAAAAGCTGTATCTGTAGGTTTTATTCTGTCTGTCCTGACTCTTATTTGTGTCCTCTTTTATTGTTCAAGAGATATGGACACCTCAAGAGAAGCTTACCTTTTCTTTCTTTCTGAAAATGCAAAGATCCTATATCCATCCTATATCCATCATGTAATTGTGATGGCAGGTTTAAAAAAAGTAACCTGAGTTGATTTTTTAATATATTTATATAATAGATATTGGAGATGGCTGGTGAGAGTAAAAAAAAATATTTGCAGATGTGCTCTTGAATATGATACTGCTAATACTTCTGTTTCTAACCCTCCCTTCAAATGGAGTTGAATGACAGATGCCATAACAGAACATTTTGGAACGAGTGTGGCCAAACTAGATCAGGGAAAAGGAAGCTTCATTTCTAGATCCCTGGACTCCATTTATCCTGTGACTGTATCTGGTATAATGGAAACCATGGATAAAACTGAAAGTAGCTTATGAGGGGTGGTTACTTAAAAGGACTTGTTCACACTTAGTTTTCTAGCATGAAAACCCAAGAAGTGGGTAGGGTTTTTATTCTACAAATTCTTTTGAAGTGGTAAACATGCAACACCTTATGGTTCAGTCTGGGGTACAAAGGGAGGAGAACTAATGAGGTGTAATAAAAAGCAGAGCAGTGGTAATTCTGACAGTGTATGGAACATGTTTACCAGCACCAAGGCAGAAGACTTTGTAACATAAATCTTTTTTTAACACTCTTGCTTTTATTCATATAATTACGGTGATCACAGATACTGGCAAGTGCATATTTTGATTCACTGAATAAAAAAGGACTCTAATGCAATTTGTGTTGGTAAATTTAGTAACTGAATTTGAGTAGTGGAGTATCTCTTCCATTTCATGGGGACACTTTAAGTAAGCAGACTCACTCAAAACATATATTTGTATTTGAGGTAAATTTGTAGTGTATCAGTGTTTACAGATGTTAGGTGTTTGTCTGTGTGGTCTATGGGTCTGCAGGAAAGGATTTATGGAAAAATAAATTTGGTTGATTGTATATTAATATGCTCTAATCATTTGAGCTGGTAGTTAGAGTTTGAAAGCTATTGGATAGTAGTATATTAATGATTCACTTCTGTCAAAGGTAATTTATAGTGAAACTTCAAATGATTACGTGGATCATTATTTATATATGAAAATTAATTCTGCCATTTCTACCTGTTTACACTGCAGCAAGATAGCCTGTTGATTTTCATGTTTTAACTGTTCAGTTATTGTTTCATTAAGGTAATTTGAGGAAGAGCTATTAAGTGGTTTTCAAAGAATGATATAATCCTTTCATATTCAGCATACAACTGTGAAAAGTTTTGTTGTTTTTTTTTACTTGTTGTATTAATTATAGTATAGATTATTAAAAGTTAAACCATTTAGAAGGCTATTAAATGGTAATATTCATTCTTGATTTGCACAGAATATGTTTTCCTTTTCTAGTCCTAGCTCTGAAGTTATGACAGTTGGTAATGACTATGGCTGAAGAATATTGTCCCTAAATGTCCTGCAATGATGCATTCACTGCTTAGCATTTCCCTAAACTTGGGTATCCCACCATTCATTAATCTTATTTTCTTCTACAGTCCAAAAGTCTGTGGCTATATCTTATCAAAAATATTTTGATACTTTATCTCAGCCACTGTTCTCTGCGTTCTTTGCTTTATACTTCTAACTTGAATGGGAACTTGCTGCCATGTTTCAGTTTTGATTTCATTGAGAGTTTCTTGATTGTTTGTTTTGCTTGGTTTTGTTTTCTAAATCTGATTTCAGCCTTTTTTTTTTTTTTTAATACCTAGTATTAGCAGTCTCATTAATTTTTTTTCTAAACTTTCTGTCAAAGAATCAGTCGTCTTCCCTGTCGCATAAATGCCTTTATCACCTACACTTCTTTCACTTGTTCTCCTATTTATATTTGGTATTCATGGTCGTGGTATTCGTGTATGAGACTATTGCCTTTTCCTTTTAAGTCCAGTCAGTTAAATAAAGATGAATGAGTAGAAAGTAGAAATGCAAATGAAGTTTCCTAAATTATCTATCTCTGTACATTCTATGTCAAATAAATTGTAGTCAGGTTATTCATCTCTCAGTTTAGATTTTGAATAAGATATGCATGGATTTACAGGTCTTAGTTATTAATCACAAAAAAACCCACTTCTACCACAAAGCACAGTCAGATGAGAAGGGGCTTGTTGCTTTTCTTGTGTTTTCTAAAACATTCATGAATTTTTCTAGGTCTTAATTGCTTTTGAAGAGCTAAACAAGCTAGCTAAAGAATTAGTCAAAGACTTATAAAGCAGCATCTTTTAGAAAAGGGAGATCAATTTAAATTTGCTATTATGATGTAGTGGCTTAGATTCCATACATGCATGTATGTGTAGCTTATTTATGCTACAATTTCAGAGCTTCATAAACTAGTAGATGTGGGGGTTTTGGCTTTTTTTTCATGGGATTACACAGAACAGCCAATGCTAGCACAACGTAAGTCCAAGCAAGAGATGGGATGGCAAAATATAAGCACATATGAAGATGAGAGAAGGAGTGCAGTAGATTAATTAAATTGACATTAGCTTCTTTTCAATCATGACCATATTTAAGAGCTTGCTAGCGTCAGTAGAGGAAGGTCTTAGTCGTATTCTTCCTCATATTTTCTCTTCTCTGTTTTTTCTCCATCCCATGTTCCCTCACTTCTATTCCTCACATCATTCAGCAGGTCTAGTATTTTTTCAGGAAAAAAGTAGAATTCAGGTCATTAATTTATGATAACTAGTGAACTCATATAGTGACAAATCAGAAAAGAGAAGAAATAAAAGTAGGACTTCTGTTTCTGGGTGTTGTTGTGTTTAGAATACCTCTAGTGGTAGTAGTAGTGTGACAGCCTGCCCTCAGAAACATGTAATGTGTATAGCCCAGAACTGTGTTGTTGCTTAAGTTTCAGCTGCAAGGTAATACTGTTGGGCAAGTTATAGTTGCCTACTAAATTGTGAAAGTGAGCTGGCATTTTTGATATCATGAGTTTTTGTATGGAATTGTCATTCCAAAAAAACTCCGAGGTTCTGTCGTCTTTTTTTTTTTTACTGTGATGACCTGCTGGAGGAAGTGATAGTCCACATTTAATGACAACTTAAGGGAAACAGGTGGTTTACCTGGAAGAAAATAAGCTGAAGTAAGTTTCCACAATATGATACCAGTTACAGTTCGTAATGGATATATTAAATACATGACTGCACCACACTATTGTGGTTGCATGGGTCTCTGGTACTGATTAAATCTTAGCTTGTAGTCTCTGGTCCTTGTCTGCCAAACTGAATTACTACAATCCTTGGGAAGTAAAATAACTGTTTAGCTCATATCGAGGTGTGTTTCTTTGCAGTTCTAGGATTTTTTTCAATACTCACCTGTTTCAGAAATAACAAAAAATTGCAGAGGAAGAACTAGAAATCATACTGATTATACTCTAAGAGTTAAATCCTTCACATGGAATTTTCATAAATAAGCTGTTCTAAGCATCACTGCGTGTTATTTGGGAAGACACTAGGACTTATTTATTTGAGGATAACAAAGAAATCTCTGGTTAATTAATTTGGGGTCATTATTAATGATAATAATTAAGTTACTATAATAAGATTGTTTTGAAATGTTATGTACTGTATAATGAATTCCAATGGCAGGGCTACAAACTACTAATTAGAAATCATTAAGCTCTTTAGATGAGTTTAAATTAAATTACATACAAAATCATAATTCTGTTGAAAATATTCTAATAATCTTAAAAGAATAAGATCATTTGAAAAGAGTGTTTTGAAACAGAAATGCTATAAATAAGCAAAAGTGACAGCAAATATTCTAAATATCCATAGACTGGCTCAAACAAATTGTAGACGCTTGCCCTGGTTTAGGGCTAATTTAAGGAGGAAGCTTCTGAAGGGGTCCCTCTAGAAAGCAAATTCAAGCAGCCCCTCCTCCCACCAGTTCAGGAGAAAAAAATCTGCTTGGAGAAAAGTGGAAAAAAATCTGTTTATTTAACAAGCAAAGTATTCACAAACATGAGAAAATGAATACTGTTAAGCAGTGGAACCTCTTGCTGTTGTGAAGAGATGGCCAATGCAGAGAGAGTCCTTCTCGTGGGGTGTAGCCCGGCTCGCTCAGGCTGGTGTGAGTCCCTCCTGCGCTGGAAAGTGCCGCGTCCCTGCCCCGCTGGGCCACAGGTGTGAGCTCTGGGGTTTGTCTGGGCTTTCAGTCCAGAGCAGGCTGAGCAGTTCCAGGAAAAGAAAAGCCACAGTCTGGGGAACTTCTCTGCCTCAGCTAGCCAAAAAAATGGACTAAAAGCAAAGGTGAGCTCTGTCCCTGTCCTGCAGGACAGCACAGTCCGGGAGCAGGAATGCGGGGGAGCAAGTGCAGTGTCTGCAAGTAAACTGAGCACTGCTTCTTCCCCCCCTCATTCTTAGAACCAGTCTTAAAGGTGCAGAACTTAATATCCAGCGTAAACAGAAGAGATGATTTGGGATACAAGAATCATAAAGTCACCCTAGGACAACACTTCAATAAGAAGTGTCACCTTTCATGGCAACATTCATTTCTGTAGTATCCAAAATATAGAAACAGGATAAAGGAGATCTTGTGAGGTATAAAGAATTTTCTTCACCCTAGTGAATACTTTGTGTAGGTTGCATTATCTATCCAAGATTAATGATAGGAACTGATCCAACAGCAGAGGAATTGTACACAGCTGGAGCAAATGCATGTGCACTTTTCTTGTCTCAGGTACCATCTTTATTTTTCCCCTCAAGATGGCCAGAAGAGATTTCATAGCAGTATCAAGTACTCCAGGAGCAACTTTACCTGTGCCCTGGCAGCCAAGAAGGCCAATCCTGTCCTGGGGGACATCAGGCACAGCATTATCAGCTGGGCAAGGAGGGGCTTATCCCACTCTGTTCTGCACTGGGGCAGCCTCACCTCAAGTTCTGGGGGCAGTTTGGGGCACTACAACATAAAAGAGACATTAAGCTATTAGAGAGTGCCCAAAAGAGGGCAGTGAGGATGGTGAAGGCCAGAAGGGGAAGCCATACATGGAGTGGTTGAGATCCACTTGGTTTTTCAGCCTGGAGGAGACTGAGGGAAGACCTCACTGTGGTCTTCAACATTCTCATGAGTGGAAGCGGAAGGGCAGGCACAGATCTTTTCACACTTGTGATCAATGATAGGACTTGAGGAAATGGAATGATGCTGAGTCGGGGAGGTTTAGATTAGATATCAGGAAAATACTATTCATCCAGAGGGCAGCTGGGTACTGGTACAGGCTTCTCAGAGAAGTGGTCACAACAACAAGCCTTTATGAGTTCAAGAAGTGTTTAGACAACACTCTCAGGCACATGGTGTGATTTTTGGGATCCCCTGTATAGGGCCAGGAGTTGAATTTGATGATCCTGATGGGTCTCTTTCAACTCGGCATATTCTATGATTGTATAATAGAAAAGCAAAAGCTATGCACACAGACAAAGCAAAACAAGGAATTAATTCACTGCATCCTGGTGGCAGGCAGGTGTTGAGACATCTGCAGGAGAGTCTGACCCCATCATCCGTAATGGTTACTTAGGGAGACAAACAAACACAGAATCAATTAGGTTTGAAAATACCTCAGATATCATTGAGTCCAACCTTTGACTGAACGCCACCATGTCAACTGTCATAATGTCAACATCACTCCGAATGTTCCTCCCCTTCTTCTTTCTCCCCACCACTTTATTTCCTGAGCATATCATGTGGTGTAAAATATCCCTTTGGTCAGTTTGGGTCTCCTGTCCCAGCTGTGTCTCCTCCCAGTTTCCCACACACCCCCAGCCTCCTTGCCAGGGTAGCAGTATGAAAGCAGAAAAGGCAGAGTCTGTGTAAGAAGGATCTCTAGAACATCTCTAGATTATCAACTCTGTGTTCAGCACAAATCCAAAACACAGCCCTGTACCTGCCACTGCAAAGAAAATTAATTCTACCCCAGCCAAAATAAGTACAAAACCCTACCAGTAAGCAGAAAGAATATGTCTGTTTTGTATAAAGCAGAATGTCTTCAGCTTTAGGACTGCTTCTCCAGTTTGTCTTAGGAAAAGGCATATTTATGTAGTCTTATGAGGTCTGCCAAAATATACGTGGCAATGGAATTGGGGCTACATGATCTTTCAACTCAAACTATTCTGTCAGTGTATGATCATTATATAATAACACTAATTTTTCATTTCTTCTAGATAAAGATCTTGACAAGCTCTTAAAAGTCTTGAAAAGTCCAGACAAGCCAACTGAGTGGGCAGAAATTTGTAGAAAGCAGTTCTGCAAAGTCATGAAAACCAAACCAGATAGCATCAGTGGACCAAGTGAGTATGAGTTAAGAAGTTTAACAAAGGAAGCAGGCAAAATGCCACTAGTAAGCAACTCTTCTTATTTTCATTGAGGAGTACATTATCTATACATTATCTAAGTAGTCCATAATTTTGTGTTGATTTTAAAAGCCATTTCAATGGGATGTTCCCAAGAAAATAAGGTTTATGCTTTTATGTCCTATTTTTCTCTTTATGACTGTTATCCCTTTATGTTGTCAGTGAAATTTGACAGAGAAAGAGGGCTCAAATACAAGTGTTTGTTACAGATCTCTAAAGGGTCCATTATTGAGCTGTTGAGAAAATGAAAAAGAAAGCCTGAAAGAAAACAGATGCTTAGAGATCAGTGAATGAGTTAACATGGATTGGGAAATTATATTAATGGGAAATTTAAATAAAAATATCAGAAGTAAGCCATACTAAATATCAAAGAACCCATTCATTCAGGTTTTTCTTAATTTTCATATGCATTTCTAATGATCAGTGTGATCATGCAGGAGCATTGCTATAGCTCAGTTAAAAAAACAAAGTAGCCAAAGCAAAAACACAGATCATCTATATGACATAAATCAGTAGAATAATTCCCTTGTGATGTCATATAAGCTTGTGTAGCCATAAAGAACCAAGGTGTTCTCAGAAATTGCTGGATTCCTTTCCCTTAGGAATTCTGATTATGGTCAGATGGTCAGTATGTAGTCTAACTTGCTTATCGGTGCCCAAGGTTTCCCTTTATGTTATTTAGATAAGCAGTTAATACAACTGTCTGTTTTAAAGCTCTTCAGTTCTGTATCTGCTTGGAGATATTTCAGAAGCAGCAAAATATCTGCAGCTCTGTGGTTTAAGACAGCTTCATGTTCACTTTCACAAGAAAATCCGTTTTACAAGAGACAGCTGTGCTACTGTGTATCTTTTGCAGAATGTGAAGCTCTCCCAGATTTCAGAGGAGTGAGTGACTTCAGTCCAGATGTCCAGAAATCAAAGCTTTCTCTATAGTTACAGATGGAGCAATCTCCATGGTTTACAGAACAAAGATGTACACTTGTGCTTTCTGTACTGGGCCCATTTTAAGGGGGACTGACAGGAACAGGAGTCGAACCAATATATAATGAGCAAAGACAACATTAGATTCAAGGACTGTATAGTGTAATGTATATTGATTTGTTTAAAATTTTCTGTGATCTGGTGTCACGATTACCAGATTCTGAATCTATAGAAACTGCTTGAACTCCATCCAAAAATTCTTGAGCAAACTATACATTATCAATATCTCTAATTCACCATTCCCATGTTGATTACTCTCCCATTAACTTGGTCAATACTTTTGTGCTAAATGCTTTGGTAATGCATTGCTTTTGGCATGGCCTTAGACTGGTGTTTTCTCTGCTAAAGCATCACCTCCAACTGTAGCTTTTAAATAATTTCTGTGCTCAAACATCAAGATGCAGTTTTGAAAGGCTTTATTTAACTTCTAAAAGGGGATACAAACCTTCCTCAGGCTTGCATGTCTTTTAATGTGTTAGGACTGAAAGTCTGGAATTTTTTTGGTCTCCTAAAAGCAAAACATATTGTAGTTAACCAGCTCCTACAGTCTGTTGTTCTAAGCACAATAATCTTCCAGTCATTCCTTCCTTAAAGGTGCCACAGATTTGTGGGTGTTAGGGTATATAGCTCCTTGTTTTCTTTGGGTCACTTATCAGCTAGAGAACCATGGTCAGAGCCTTTGGTTGTCTTGGCTTCTTTTGGTAGTATTTGGTAGTTTTTATAGTACTTGTAGCCTCCCTGAAGTGTCCTTAGTACATCTTGAAAATAGCTTTCTGTGTACAGGCATCTAAGATTTTGCAGAAAAAGAAGTGAGCAAATCAACTCCTCTGAACAATAGCTTAGATTTATGTAGAAAATTATTACTCTGTATGAATCTAGGCTTAGCCTAGTGCATGTTCAAATAGTTCACATGATTGAGAGAGAGGTGGCTTATGGTTTTGCGTTTTTTTTTTCTCTTGAACTCATCCTGACTATTTTAGCCATGCCTTTTTCAATTATCTTCTCCTTTTTGTCCTTCAGATATGGCAGAAGGCATTTCTGTTGTTTGCCATTCCAGCAACTTCTTTTTCCATCTGTTCCCAGTTAATGTTGTATCAGCAGCTGACTTCTGGGCAGATTCAACAGCCTTATTTCTCTCCCCTTTTAGGAGACTTTGAACCCAAAGCAAAATAAATTAAGGGTGTTGCAGAGATAATATCAATTATATGCTAACATTCTTCCCTCATAATGAGATATTCCGTTCCCAAATCCTATTCTTCTCAAGCTTTCATATGTGATGGGGATAGGGATAGTAAATTCAGCTAAAATTATTTACTCCATAGAGTCTTTCAGATTTTCCATCACCTGTCTCTCTGAGGATCTGGATTTTGATCTGCAGCATTCTTTAAGGCCTATTAATTTACCTCCAAATCGTTGTTTTGGTTTTTTTTTAAATAAAAATCAACCAATCAAGAAAAGAAAAGATAGCAGCTCGTGATCTTGCATGTGAGAACTTACAATGAAACATAGGAATTTTCTTCAGCTTTCGTAAATGAAATGTTTGATGGAAGCAGAGTGGTTACAGTCAACACAGTGTTCTGGAATCCTTTAATATTTTGTGAACTCTGCAACATCTAAGATAGCTCTATCAAAACCTGTTGACAAAAAATACAGTGAGCCTTTGAGGCAGTGTCGTTGTGATGTATGTGTGCTGCAGCCTTTAGCAATTGCAACAAAAACTTGAAACTAACTACAGGATTTCCCCATAGGATAAAGAACCAGTGACTGTTGTGTGCTGATTTATTTCAGGATAACAAAATGCTGATACTGTATTTGCAAAAGAAGCTTTTAGAATAATATAGAATAGAAGTTTGCCTTTTTATGTCCTTGATTTTCCAAGGAAGCTTGTGTCAGAATACAAATGGAACAGTGGGCCTTTAGGTTATGCAGAAAGAACAATTTCAGAGCAGAAATTCTTTCTTCTGTCCCCCAAATCAGTTTGGAGCCACTCTAAGCAGTGCAGGTGCATGTGAATGTGTGTGCAGGTGTGTAAAGATTTGGTTTGGATTTAAAGGGCTGTTTTTTCCATTAATAAGGAAAATACTTGAACATTGCATATGTTACATAAATATATATCTCTAATGGAAGCATTGACAGAATTTTTATTACCTTTTCTTCTTTTCAGAGAAAATGTACATTGTTCATTTGTCATTTTAATATATAATAATTGAAAATCCTCCTTATTGCCATCAATAATGAAATTGCTAACTCTGTTTTTCATATATTTATTAAACTGAAATATGGTTGATGGAGTTAAAAATTTCTGACACTACTCTTGCAAAAAAGTAATCTAAGATTATCTTAGAATCTTGAATTTCTAGCCTCTAACTGAAGTCACAGAATCAGCTGAGTTGGGAGGGACCATCAAGAACCATTGAATCCAGCTCTTGTCCCTGCACTGGACCATCCCCAGGTGTCACGCCTTGTGCCTGAGAGCAGAACTGCTATTAAAAGAATCCTTTGTATTTTCTTTTAAAAGCCTCTGAAACATCTGGGTCATAGAATACGATCCAGTAACACTAGTTATATTAGAGGATTTAAAAAAGACTGATGCTTTTTGCATTTTTTGACCTTTTTTGGCTTAAAACTTTCAGAGTAGGAATTAGGTTAGTGCTTGTGGTTGTTACCTATTGAAAGTTTTAACCACATGCTTTTTCCAAAGCAGTGTTCTTACCCAGTTTTGAAGCTGTTTCAGTTACCTTCCTTTTGTACACTACTTCTTCAAGGAAAAAGAAAATCCTGCAGGAATCTAGGTGTTTTATGAGCATACTGCAGTAATTTAAGATATTTAAAAACATTTCCATTTATTTCATATATGATTACACACACCTAAATTAAAATTCTCTTTATTTTGACTCTTTAAAACTTCAATACTAATACAGCCAAGCTACCATAATTTAAGAAAATCAACATTTTCACTGTGTTGGTAGGCCACATAAACTTTACCTGAAAATTTTGGCTTTTACAGCAATACTGGCTGTACTGTACAATGAACCTGCCTAAATGTCATTTGTCTTCTTTTCCAATTAATGAAGAATCACTGAGCCAGTTTCTACAGTGTCCAAATGGCAGCTAAATGATTCAGTAGTAAAAGACAAAAATTAAAATAGCTGCTTGTCATTTCACATGGATGTTCCTTTGGAAAAGGCAGTGTTCTCCCTCTATTTATGTATTAATCACATGTGTTTTGAGGCACATTATTGTGTGTCTTTGTCCCTCAAACTTGATTAAAATATTTTCAAAGATCCTTATAGGCACTTAGATAAATACTTTCAAATGGTGAAAATCAATTTAGTACTTGAGTTTCAAAATACTGCTTAGCAGCTGAACAGTCACTTCTATTAACTCAAGCACTGAACTGAAGTATTCACCTGTTAGGTCAAACATGTGGATGCCTTATGACACAAAAGGAAGAAATGTACAATGTCCCAACTTGGCTTAAAAATTTCTGAATTATGGGACATTTTAGTCTTAACATAGCTCCCATTTATTATTACAGTATGGCATATTTCAGTAATCACCATACTAATAGTCCTACAGAAAATATATAGCTAGTTACAAATTTAAAGTCTAATTTCTGCTTTTTGCTGTCTACGGTTTCAGGAATAGACACATTTGCTCATTTTACACAAATATTTGCTATGCTGCTTGTGCGCCAAATTCCACTAAGCATATTAGTGAGGATTAGTGTGTTTGTATATTCTTCAAAAAATAATAAATTATTGTTCTTCTATGCAGTAAATTGGTTTTTTTTAGCCCCATATGTTTTATTAACCATGATTAAAAATAGCTGTATTATATTTAATTAGCAGTTTCTTTTCACTATAAGAGTGCATAAGAATATAAATTACACATGTAGTTTTTAGTTTTAATTTAGTAGTCCTTTGCAATGCAAAATTAATTTTGTTACTGTTGGAGTTGGAGCTCTAACTGTAAATTCATGTTTAGCTGTTGTACTGAAACTTTTTTTAGCATTACACACATTAGTTTAAGCACAACCTTCTACAAACTTTTTCTGGACATATTCAGTGTAAATAAATTTTTGTAAATGTTTTAGGCAATTAAGACCAAGAAAAATTGTGATTTAATTTTAGTATGTTAGCTTAAAATAATTAGAAAAATACTCAATTGTCTTTATTATATAATCTTTTTCTGCATTGTTTTTCTGGCATAACAAGCGTCAGACTGTGGGTGGAAGTTCTGTCTTTCTCCTCCTCCTCGTTCCCAAAGGAGCTTGCACTGCTCTTTAACTGCTTTTCATCAGTTTTCCTGTCATCATGGCTAGCTCAAGAGGTTTCTAGCTTTCTCCATTTCCACCTCCAGCATGTGTTTTTGCTCCACCGCACTTGCAGTGCTGCAGCTGCTCCTGCCACTGTCCACTTAAAGGATATAGTGGTACTGGGTGCTCTTTATGGTCCCTTCCAACCCATGCCATTCTATGATGCTGTGAATATCCAGTTTAAAACCAGCAAACCCACCTGGGCAGTGGGTGCCTGGAGTTATGTGCAAGAATGAGGGAACAGGATCTGCTTCATTGCTATTAACTGGAAGTGCTGCCAGGGAAATGGTAACATGGTCTTTAAACAGGAAATCCCACAGGTAGCAGCAGTTGTTACTTACCTCATATGGGCCTCTTCTATGCAGGTTGGGTGAAGGCTTTCTCATAACTTTTGTTTAAACTTGTGTGGTGTCACATGTTCAGTTGCTATAGCCTCAGACTTGCAGAATTGAGGAATCAGGGACAGTTTGGATAACGATTTGTCACCAAGAGTTCTTGTTAACTTCCTGGCTAACATTCTTTCAAGGTGGGAGATAAGATTTCCTCCCTAGTGAACAGATACCAGCATCAGACTTAGCTATGCAGTATCTGCAGACTCAAAGTTCTGTAGCAAGAAATTAAGAACATTATGGTCATCATTAAATGCAGATTTCCCAAATGAAATATTCCTATTGCATAAATTTAAGTGAATAATTTTTATCTTATGATGGCATAAGCCTTTTTATATTGAGATTTTTTTGGAAACAGCCCTTAAACTTCAATTGCTTTTTGTTAGCATAATTTTGGGATGGTATCAGCTTTTTGTTCTATGTGGGATGTTGGGTTTATTTGGGTTTTTTGGTTGGTTGACTGGTTTTGTGGTTAGTTTGTTTTATTGTTTTTCTTTCCTGTCTCCATACACAAACAAATGTGTTAAGATATTATAGTTTAATTATAGTTAATTTTCATTTCATATTGAAAGCATGTAACAAATTCTGAAGTAATCCTTGGAGGATATAAAGATAATATGAGATTCCCTTTCTGTTTGCACTGAATATATTCTCAATAAAGCTATTAAAATTTAATTTAAGTTAGGAATGGTTTTAGGAATGTAAAAGTGCAATGCATGTTTTGAGTTGTTCTCCCATAAAAAAATGAATAAATACGCAGGAATTTAAATAGCTTTACTTTCCCACATATTGTCACTTAGGTGACGTAGTTCCATATTTTGTTGCCTCTAATGTTTTAATGGGTATTTTCTTGCAGTTTTGGCAAAATTAATTGAAAAGTTCGTGTCACATCTTTCTGAAAGCAGAACAGATTGTTATTTCAGCATGGGAAGCTATAAAGGTCAGTCTCCTAATAATTTATTGCCATGCAGCCTCTTCATATTTAAATTGCCTTTCTTCTAAATGTATCTGTATCATTTTGGGGGTTGTTTAAAATGTACTTTAACAGCTCAGAAATTCATTACTTCACTGGTGGGAAATACCTCACTTTGGAGAAGAAAATGATGTGTTCGAGTGAATAAAACAGATAATTATTAGTGATGGGTTTTCACATTTCTATGTATAATAGAAAAATGAAGATGCAGAGTATGTGAGGGTGTGATTCAGAGTATTTGTTGACACCTGTTATGTATGATTTACAAAGCTGGTGGCTTAAATATTTAAGATGGTGTAAGCAATCTGACTCACGTTTTGAAAGCCCCAGAAAGATACATACTTTATATACTTTATATTGTATTAAAGGATATGTATTAATTGTTGTCAGAGTAATCTGAGTGTTAGTTTTATACAGAGACTGTGCTTACAGCCAAGAATAAAGGATGAATGATAAAGCTGATTTATTCTGAATGTAAAGTAATGTGTTTTAATACTTTGAAGCACAGGTAAAATTAGAATATTTAGAACCATTGTTAATATCTGCTGGAAAATGCACTTTCATTCTTCACTGTTTGTCCACGACTGTTCTCTCAGGTTGTAGTTCAGCCATTTAGATACAGTTCTAACTGTGGAGAATCAAGCCTGCTTTGGGGAAGAGTATGTTATTTATACTGATATTTTACTCTTGTATCTATAGGATGCAAATATAGTATCCTTGGAGACTTGGGGCCTGCCTCTGAAGTTTCAAAGCATAAAACCCCTTTAGAAATTTTCGAAGCTGTCTTTCTATTTATGTAGTGGCCTTTACCTTTCAAAAGCTTGCTAACAGGATACCCTTCATTTAATTTAAGAATCTCTCTGTTTTATGAAGAAAATTGTTGATGGGACAGTTATTTCTATCACAATTTTATATTTTCTTGAAAGATACTGGAAGTTTATCTTGTCCTGTTTTACTTTTCAACTTCTCATGAGGCATAATGAGCAATAAAATAATTCCATGGACTCACAAGGTTTGCTAATTACATATTTCTGAGAATTCCTAATTCAAATAATAATTTTGGCTGTTCCTTCAAAAGCTTAAAATGCTAAAACTAACTAGAGGAAGAACAAACATCTGGCTGTGCATCCTCCAAATGGATGTCTTGCTCAGAAAAGACAGCAGTCCTCTCTTCCTTAATTATGATAGCTTAGTGCTTCCAACTAATGTAAAAGATCTCTAAAGACAAACAGTAGGCCTTATGCCATTCACTTAGTCAACTACCTTACTTTTTATCCACTCTCCTCAACCTTTTGATCAAAGCTAGGATTTAAAATTCATTCAGGAAGGTTGAACCTAGATCTTCTATTTAATTGATTTCGCCATGAACCACTGATTAAATGGAGGTGGCATAAACATTGCATTATTTCTCTAAAATTTGAAAAAAGACCAAGTTTGAAAATCCTGTGTTATTTTTTTTATTTTCTGAATGAGGGGTTTTTTTGGGTCTTATACAGGCACTATCAGACATTAATTCTGGTTAAGTTTGCCTGATCAGTTATCAAATAAAGGCTACAACATTTGTAGGGTTGTCTAATGAACAGTTTCCATGTGCAAGTGCTTTTCATAGTCCATGTGCTTCAATGAAAACAAGTTTAGAAATGGGAAAGTGAGAAGTCTTCTCAAGGGTAGTCAGTAATCTGGTGGTAAGAGGTAGGCAAAGGATTGCTGGTGCCTTACTGAGTTCTTTCCCTGTCAGCAACAACATTATCACAGATTTCTTTTGTGAAGAGCTCTCTAGCCCAGGAAAGAGTGTTGCTCAAGCAAACAACACATTTCATCAAAGGTTCATTCTAACTTTTATAGGAAAATAGTTATTAAAATGTCATAGCACCTTTTCAGACAGGTTAGCAATAAGGGTTAACCAGGGAATTTAGTTTAGACCAATAAATTCATGCTGATTGACATGAAGCAAAAATCTGGCTCTAAAACTGAATCTGTGATCATATTCTAATTCTGCTTTGAAACAGTAAAAGGTCATGATTTTAAGAATCGGTCATATATATCTAAATTTACATTCATTTTGGGTTCTTTTTTACATCATAAAATAAACAGTATGGTCTTCCTATGAAGGAAGGTTAATGCACTTTGAGAACCCAGGTGTGAATTATGCTTCCTATGTTTGTACCAAAGGGACAACAAAACACACTCCAATCTTTATCAGACCTTGTTTGTTTAAAATTAGATTTCTCACTGGTTGAATAATGATTGGCCAGATTTCTGTGCATTTGCCAAGGTTTTCTAGTAGTCCTTATGAAGCATTGCAGTTTCTTCAAGGAGAATTACTGAATGCCATGTTATTTCACAGTATTATTTTCATATGCTCCTGTAAGAGCCATCCAACCTAAATTCTAAAACTAGTTACAGAGATGTTTTTTCTGTATAAGGTAAAGCTAGTGAGTTGTTAGAAGGTAACATCTTTCTAGCTTCACATCTAAGTAAGCCAACATGAACTTGACAATTGTGTGTGTCCACCATTCTCTTACATAAATTTGGTTCTGAGGAACTGAAAACCAGTTTCTGATTGTTATTTCATTTCAATGAAGAAAAGTCACATTTTTCATGAAAGTGGATTCAGTACAGCACATACATATTCAGTGTTTATCATGTTTCCTGAAATGAGAATTTGATTATCTTAAAAAAATGACAGCTTTGTAAACCTGTAGCTAGTTGTAATTAGAATAACACAGTCATCCATCTGCTATGGATCCCCTCAGGATTTCAGTCTCTTATAAAATTTGCAAATATGGAAAAATTAAATTAGATTGGGTTGTTACCATTTTCAAGATAAGAGAGGAGGAAAAAATATCTGATAAAACACTATGCAGTTGCAATGTTCAGTTATAAACAGTAAAACAAATTTTACATGAAGTTTACTTTCTGCTAGCAGCAATGATACTGCTGTGACGTTTATTCAGATGACTGAATCTGTGTATATGTTAATGATCTGTCTGTCTCCTTTTCTAGAATTAATAATTTCTAGCTTGCTTTTATTTTTTCTTTCTCCTTTACAAAACCTAAAACATTGAAAACCAAATCATTGGTGTCTAGCTGTAATAGGTAATAAAATGGCAAGAAACTAAAATTTGCTGTAGTAGTAAAATTCCATAGATTATATATTAGGCATATGAAGTTCCTAAAATAGCCTTTTGCTCTTTCTGTTAGCAAATTCCAGTTCAGTATAACAGAAACACTTTGTGAAAATGTCATATTTTTCTCAAGGTTTCAACAAACCCATTTAGAGAAACTATTCAGAGAAATGTGAAGTCATCTAATGTACTGGTGTCTTTGCCTCTTAATTGAGCTCCATGGTGTGTTGCGACTCTCCAGACTTGGGACTCCTGAAGCGTTTTGTGATCAGCAGAGTTTTTTTGATGGCTCTGCTTTTGCAGATGACCTTGCAGTCAAATCCTCTGTTTCCACTGGACTTTGTCTCTGAAACAGCTCTGTTGTGTACTGCCAAAGGGACAGAACCTCAGGGATTTCAGGTCTTGGCAATAAAACTCAAATGTCATGGTGTGTTCCATCTCCTAGATGAGCTTTAGTTCTCTGACAGAACAAAATCTCATAGGAACTTTCTGCCATTTATTGAGCTCTTAATCTTTGAGGGGTCAGGTGGGTTGGGTAACAAACTGAGAAATTTAAAAAACACCAGTGGGAAGGTATCAGTATAGAGCTGTTCAGAAGAAGCAGCAAATGAGAAATATGGGATTACATCCTGAAATTGGGCTGAAAGGGAAGGGGGTAGGAAGGGAATTCTTCCATTTTTTTTCTGAATCATTTGATAAATGCAGTTCTTCAAACTGTCCACCATTTTGAAGATGCTGTTATCAGAAAGCATTTTACCCATTGCCAGTTTAGATAACAGGACTGAAAATGTGGTTCATTCTTAATGAAGCTGTTGCCAGAAACAGCTTGAGTATTTGTGATGATCATTATATAATGAAGTTCTAGATATGAATATTTTGGTCTTGTATTGTTATGACAAGACTACAGATACTTTGGATAGTCCATGTGGAATTGCACATGAGATTACCTCTAAGAAGCCATCAGCATTCTTCAGCAATTGCTCTTGGATCTTGTTTACATTGTGTTCATTCCCAGTTCAAATCCAACAAAAGTAATACTTTACTTTGAAAAAAGGTTTTTTTATAGACAATTCTAACTGAATATGAGGTCAGACAGCCAGAAGTGTTCTAGATGAGTAGCCTGGTTACAGAGATGACATCATGAAGAAACAGTAGCAAAATGGCGGAACAGAATATAGAGAGAAACTCATAAATTTTGCTCTGCCACAATTCCAAATAATGTTTAAAATAGAAAACTTCCATAAGAATGTCAGAATGAGAAAGGATAGTTACTGACAAAGCATAAAGATTAATATTGACTGCTTGGGTATCTGCCAATGGGCAGGGTCAGTGTGTAGTATTTGTTGAAAAGTAAGTGAAAACCTTCTGGTTTGTTAACAAAAATAATAAATCATAGGAAAAAATTATGAGTTTCACAATTTCAGTTTATATGGACAAAGCCATGGACTAGAAATCTGATAGCGAGTATACCTATATACTTATAAGTATTTTAAAGCATCTGTGGGAATTATGCAGGTGGCTCTAGCTATCTTGGTATTTTCAGATGTTTTCAGAATCTTTACTTAAATATTTTCTTTGAATCAAAAGTCTTTTTCATCCATAGCAAGAAACCTAATCTTTCTTATTGTCACTGAAGTTAAAATTTAGCTTCTGTTAGCATATTCTAAAGATTATTTATATAGACGTAAAACCATTTGGCCTGGACATCAGGAAGTGAAAGAGCTAAACCAATAATGTGAGTGACAGCTCTAGTAATATTCTTTACTTAGCCAAAAGAGAACCCAGTGGTGTCTTTGACAGAGTGACAGCACTTTAAACAGGGAAATAAATTAAATATTACCCAAAGACCACACAAGTTACATGAAATATGCTGTAAGTCTGTTTCGGCTTGGCATCCTGTCATTTCAGTATGAATGTGATGTAGCCCATTTTCTGACTCAAACATATGAAAGCTTTGTCACAGTAAGAGGGAAAATGAATAAGAACCAATCTTTAATATAAATTATATAGTTAGTTGAAGTGTAGGCTGATCAGAAAGAATGTCACAGGACTATGGATGGCAGTTAACTTGCGCTGCTGGAGTGTTTTTAGTTATAGACTGAGTTTAATAATAATAATAATACATCCTTGCCTATGGGAATCATGCCTCATGGGAGTCTCTTTTTTGTGCTCCTGAATGCCACAAAACATTTTGAAAAGTGCTGCCCATTGAGGTGCTTTCTAAGAATTTTCTTAAATTCTAAATCAGCTCCTAGGGAATTCCTATATCCTTCAAGTCACTAGTTTAATTTTGGCTTCTGTTTTACAGTGTTTTCCATTTTTAAAGAAAGAAGTGTGAAATATCTGTTCACCATAGATTTTTTTTTTTGCTTTAAGACAAATAAAAAGGAAGCTGCCAAAGTATCTTGTTCATTCCATTTAATAATAGCCAGAGTGCTGTATCATATTATTAATTCATGGTTCATAGAGGTGATCTAGTCTTTGAGAATAAATGGGATTCTTATTTAGAGAACTGATTTTTCTCCATGACATTTTGTTATAAAACCTTTTGTGTTTCGGGACAGTTATATCAGGTGTATTGAAAAATAGTGGTCAAAAAACTCTTGTATAAAATTAAGTTAGTGCATTGAATCACATGTATGGGCATCATCACAATAATAGTCACAACAAGCAAGCTTTTTGTCCATGGATTGCAATATGCAGTATTTAAATATTCCACTTGTTTTTCATAGCATTTTTCTAACACTAATGGAGCATTTAAGATTTCTAGGTCCAGATTTTAATCAGTGGGAAGTAGTCCTTTGAGTATTCTAAATGACTTTGCAGTGTTCTTAAGCCTACTCTTTCCAGTTTAAGTGAAAAACAAAAGGGAAAATAAAAACTTTTGACCCATGACAAAAAAGCACAATTTGTGGATTAGCAGAGTACGGAGCTGTAATTATGTCAAATACAGTGGTATCTGAAAGCAAGAGGTTTTGCCTTGATAAAGTACTGTGTGATAGAGAACTATTATTCAATCCAGACTTCAAGTTAATTTTATTTTCCTTCACAATACAGAGGAAAATATCAGAGGGAAGTGTGGTGGGGAAAAAAAGCCCTTTCCAGCCACTAAGAAATTGTTACAACAGAGGAGAAAAGTTAATGAAAATCAGTGGAGTTGTATTCTTTCAATGTTAACGGACAATGAGCATTCAGTACTTGTTGTAAACTTTTACAGAATGTATACTGGACTCACACAGTGGGTTGTGATACAGCTTTTCCTCACTGCACCCTTGCTGGCCTGGGATACCTGCATTTCCACCTCAAAATGGAAGCAGGACTGCATTGGAGCTTAGACCTCATTGTTCTTGCCCTCTGCTGCCATTAAACCTGGTGGTGTTAGGACTGAATTAGTCATTAGCCATAGCAAACTCAATTAAATTCTCCCTATTTTCTAGGATGTATATATGCCTCTTGCCTTCCTACTTGCACACACAAACTTGAAAATGAATTGATTTAGTTTGGCAATTGCAGCCTGAGTAAACAGGTAACTTGGAACAAAAGCTGTTAAAAGTTATGAATATTTCAGTTATTTCTGTGGGATTTTAATTGAAATGCCCTGTGAATTTATATGTATTCTTCCAAAGATTGCTCTGCTGGTGTGCTATGCAAAAGATATTTGAACTTCTGTTTTTGGGTTGCAAAAAACCTCTCTGATGTGGGTTTACTGCTCAGTCCCACCAGATTATTGAATAAGATCATTTTACTCAAAGAGCAGTTGATTTTTATTATGTATAATGTCAAAGGTATAAGGTTAATTTCTCACAATCATAACACTTAAATTATTGCTCACTGTCAAAGTTATAAAATAGAGTGGAGTTTTATTCTTTCCATACTTCCTCCACTGAATTTTATTGCTTCATTCTTGAGTGTAATTTTGCTATATTATTTTCTTCATAAAAATTTTAACCTACCGCATCTCATATGACCAGACAGAATCTTCCTTTTGGTGTTTTTTTGTTTGTTTGTTTTGCAGTTTTTTGTTTTGTTTGGTTGAGGGATTTTGGGGGTTTTTTTGTGGTTTTGTTTGTTTGTGGTTTTTGTTTTGTTCTTGTTTTGGTGGGGTTTTTTGGTTTGGTTTGGTTTTTGTTATTTGTTTGTGGGTTTTTTTGCCTTTGAGTCCTTTCCTCTCTGAACTTTTAACTATTTCATCTTTAATACCTTAGTCCCTGTTTGTGTTCCAGGAAAATAGGGTGTTTACCCACATGAATAACCAGAGAATCCTTCACTTTGATTTCTCTGTCTGAGAATATAGGAAAAATACATAAGAAGTTACTGTGTGATCTACTTAATTAGATTTTTACATTTATCATTTACATTAATATAATAACTGCTGCTGCCATGTCAATTATTTACATATTTAACAAATGTCAGTTAATAAGGGTTTTCATTTGTTTCCTTTCCTGCTGGTTTTTTTAGTAGCACTTTCAAAGACGTATATTAAAGGTTTATTCCCTCAGCTTTGTAACTCATAATATTATTAGACTTCAATTTTTATCTGTAGTAGTTATCTTAGATGATAACATGTACCTTATAGGGAAAATGCCCATTTAAAATTTAATTTAGAATTTAATATTTTGAGCAAATTCAACATCAATGGTTGCTTTAAATCATTATTTATTAATTTTTCTAAATTAATTTATACAACTGAAGAAAATGGAGTATATTTTACTGTATGAAAAAATGCATGTAAATACAGGATTGAATTAATTTTTAAGTCATTCAGTTCTAGAGTTTCCTGTGATTCATATCGAAATAGAACTTTATTAACAAAAGTTGGAATTACAGCTAGGAAATTTTGAGGCCTCTGGTGTGGAAGAAAGTGGATCAGAGTAGGTTGCCTTCTCTGATTTCAAGGCCAGAAAGAACAAAATTCTGCTAAGATTTGGGGCTGGAAAAGATGTCTCTTGCTGTAAACGTATTGATAACTGTCATGATAACCGTACTAACCATGAAGATTTCCTTATAAAGAGGGTGATTTTGATTTAAAAAAAAGTCTGTGAAGAATGCAGATTCTTTATGAATCCTTTCCAAACACTACCAAAATAATTTTGAATAGGAAACAGTTCTCCAGAATTGGTATTCATGCACAGAAAGAGCTTTACATTAGCATTCAGTTCAAATCATATTTCTTATGATACTTTATTTAATTTATTTCCTTTTGTTTTAGCCATGGATGCAGATGTGAAGAAAGAAAATCTTTCATCTGTGCAGCAGCTTGGTGTTGAAATGACAGTCAGGTACATGGTATTAAAATATTTCCCTGGAGTATTTCTAGGATTTGTTTGATTTTCATGGAATGACTTTAATAATACTTAATCCATCAACTCATTTCTTTATACTGTTTAAATCTAAGATAAACTTTAAGAAAATTAATTCTAACTGGAATTGAAAAAGGTATTAGTACATAATTAAATTATCTTTACAGTTTGTGTATGTTATTATCCTCTACTTTTGTAAAGACTAATTGTAACGTGCTAGTAAGATTTACCATAAATTTGCATTACCCTGAATTATGTGTCTTTTTTTCCCTCACATTACTTCTCTAAATGGTTCTGTTTAGCTAAGCTTAGTTATATGCCATTTAAACAATCTATTTGGCTGGTAATTTGCAGAGTTGCGATGATGGAGAAGCTTCGATGTCTGTATTTCTACAGATTCCTATATTTAGCATTAATGTTTGAATTCTGATTATAATAATTACACATACAATAATTGTATAAAATTTTAAATATTGTGCATGAAGAAATGGAGTTGTGTGTATTAGAGTATTTGTTTCTCCCCAGCCCAGTCTCTTAAAACTGAACTAAAGGGAATTTGAGTCAGGATTTGTAACAATGAGCAACAGATGGTTGCTGTGTACCCTTTCTAGATAGAGCATAGAAGGTTATATCTACAGCATAGTTTTAGTGATGAACAATTTTATGACAGCTTAAGTTTTAAATAAAGGTTTATTAAATATGAGTTCTTCTTTTTTAGGAATTTAAAAAATATGTAATCTTTAAAGAGGGTTTTTTTTTAAACTTTTTGAGATAGATATGGAAAATACTTAAACTTGCTAAAAGAAGATGCTGAAAGTGGGCTGTGTTTTGTGTTAATGAATTGTGAGGAGTTTCTGAAACAACAGCGAAGAACTGTGGTATCTTCACTTCGTATCCTTTCCTGATGGTATAAGTTCTATAGTCTTCTAATTTCAGTTGAATTTGACCTCCTTGTTTGTACTTTTAATAGAGGTGTAGGTGTGTAACATTTATGGAATTTATTTTTTTTTAAAAAAAGAACACTTTTACTTTGAAATTTTGTTAAGTTAAATGCATACCAAATGCACTCAAGAAAATATTCACCATTTTGGTTCCCATACTTTGTTAGAAGTGCAAACCTCATTCATTTTTGTCATCAACTGTTTTGGAGTGGGATCTCATCTTTGAATGTGATAAAGAGCCCACAGCAATGTACCTTTGAACATTAATGAGTATTTCTGGTACTCTCACAATCCCAACACTGGTAATGATACTGCCTATATAAGCGTAATAAATGTGATAAGAAGATGTAGTCTGATCATCAGGAGCAATTAGACTTTTGGTTCTTTTGGATCTACTGTGGAACTTCTTGTGAAAAAAATAAATCAGATAACAGCTTTTCAACAAGCTTTGTTATATTCTTTTCTGTTAGATTTGCATACCACTATTAAATTATACTTCAGGTATATTAAGTCAAAATGTGCCAAGTCTCATTTTAAGGCTTTCTTTTACTTTTTTTTTTTCAATAATTTTAACTCCTGTTTTATTCCTCCACTATTCTCCTTTCTTGCACTTTATAAGCACACTTGTCTTGGTGCAGGTTTTTTTGCATTTGCTTGCTTTTTGTTTACTTTTATTGATTTAGCTTGAATACATATGGACTGAAAAAAATTAGTATATGGGGAAAACAGCTTAAATTTTTTCTCTTAATTCAGTTTGAGAGACAACTGTTTCTTAATGATGCCTTCTGTGCAGCTCTGCTCCCCCTGGCTTTGTCTAACAACCCAGCTCCCATCTCTGATTGTCTGGGCCTGGGAAGGAGGAAAGCTGTGGTTGATGCAGGAGAGTGAGGAGGAGATCTCTGCCCAAGTTCCTTAACCTTCCCATTCAGGCTGCTTGCAGGAGCACTCTGCAGGTTATGACTGGTTTGCATCTTCTATTTTCCTCATAATGTCAGGGGACAGGGAGAAGACACTGACGTTTCTTCAGCAATTTTCACAACTTCTTGTTTCAGCATTTCTCTGGCCACCAAGACTGCATTTATCCGTAAGAATTTACAACCTATTTCTTTCTGAAAGTCTGCTTTGAAAGTTTACAAATGAGACTTTATTAATCTCCCTGGTTTGGTTTTTTTGGGTTTCCTTGTTTGTTTTTGTTTGGTTTTTTTTTATTATTATTATTTTTTTCTAATGCATTGTATTTTCCTTAAGGCCCCCTGGCTAAATACATGACCCTGAAAAATTCATGGGATAATGTAGGTCTGTTATTGGGTCAAATTTTTGCATAAAAGGAGAGAAGTAGCAGGTAGACTAATAGGAAGACAGTGATTACAAATTTTAAAGCTGGCAGTAAAACGAACTTTGTTAGTGGCATTAAATTCCGTGTGGAGGTTGTGATACTGCTGAATGACCTTTTATTTTAATTAGTTCAGTAAGAGAGCAAGTCCATCCATCTGATTTTTTGATTTTTTTTTTTCAGTGACAGTTTTGAAATTTACATAATACATTTGAGTATATTTAGTACGTTTTAAAAATTATTTCTGCAAAAATACTCTATGATTGACAATTTTAAATTGTCAGTATTCTGAATTGAGGTTGTAATATAGGAAGCATCATTTCTATCTTTCATTCTATATCACAGCTATTTAAAATAAAACCCTTTGTACATTTGCATGTTGTCTTGAATGTTTTGAACATAAACCCTAAACTATAGTCTCTATCAGAGAATTCTGGGGTACAAGAAACACAGTCTAGATTCTGTACTTCTGCATGGAGGCTTCTGTAGTAATACCAAGTGATCTGTCTTGTCACCAGAAGAGAGGATGGTATCGGTCCATTCAGCAATGAGCCTGGCCTGAGGTTGTTCCAGCATAATGAAATTTGTGTTGAAATTTGTTCCATTGTGCAAGTGCTGAAAAACCACTGGTGCCAAGGGTAACTGGAACTGGGAATTGATATTCAGAGCCTTCCACAGTGATAAAACCTCTGCTCCTTTTGCTGCACATAATAGAATTTCACTCACACCATCCACACATACTGCAAAGATATGTGCACTCATAAAACAACTTCAAGTATCATGGAAGTTCTGCTCCACCACTAAATGGAGGAAAAAATCCAACAGAAATCAGTCTTTTTTTTCCCCCCTTTGTTCTCCTGCTTAAAATATAACAGCAATTTCTCCATCACTGTTTTGACAATTAAAGCCTGTATACAATAAGGAACTAGAGTGCAAATGCACAGTAACAATCAAGATATGTTTATCAACAATTTTCTTTAATTACCTACATGGTTTTCTTGATGGAAGTGCAACCTTTTTTGTTTATGCTGTTTCCTGTCTCTAAAATTATCGGAATTACTTATCTTACATATAAAAATATATATATTTTACATATTGTTCACAGCAAGATATTAAAAACCAGCACATTTCTGTAGTCTGTAATCCTGTTCCTCAATTTTGTTGATGATGATGTTGTTGTTGTTAACCAGATGCACCTGCCTGTTACAACAGTGGAATATGGCATCCACCCAGTCTATTTTTGCATTGCCCACCACGTTGAAATGTTGCTGAAAGCTGAGTTGCCTCTTGTCTGTTCAGCCTTCCACATGTCTGGTTTCACTCCATCCCAGGTAACCAATCAAAATGTATTAAAGTAATCATCAATCTATTGACTTAAGTCTACAAAATCAAGAACACAGAGGAGCCACTGTCCATTTTTCCTAAATGGTGCTTGTGTGGTGGTTATAAAACAGGGTAAGAGATAAGAACATGTAATGACTTAGAGCTTCTGAAAATAGAAAGTAACTGACTCATAGAATAATACCAGTGTACTCGAGCTGATGACCTTTTATTACATGTTCATGCAGAAAAATTGCTAAAAATAATATATACTAAATCCTCATATTTAGCATTTAAACAGAATATCTCATTTCCTGAAATAATTATCTCAATTTCCCATGGGAGACAAATGAATAATTTTTAGTAGTTACATACTAGGAAGCCGTTCCTGTGATATTAGAGAAAAAATAATTTTATATGAGCTACCACAACTATTACAAAATGGTAACACACTATTCTTTCATATTAAAGAGGTGTTACAACAGAATAATAATTATCTATAACACCAACTTTCATTTTGCTTACAAACAGTTGTTTGGTAGTATGGAAAGCTATGGGTGAAGCATGTTTGTAAAGACTGCATTCATGATGAAGGGTAAAGAGCTCCCTGCAGTGAGTTAGATTGTGTGTGCAAAGGACATCTCGCCAGTGACAAAAGGCATTGCTGTGCCAGGCAAGAAAAATACTTTTCATCTTATGCCTTCAAAATTCCTTTTTGCTGTGAGATTTCCATCAGAAGAGACTGGCAGATGCCAGTGTGGTACAAACATTGCTTAAAGTAGTCAGCTTGGGGTTTGGTTTTTGAGGAGAGAAGAGTAGCAGATAAAGGAATTTATCTCAGCATAGGAATAAGGTGCTTGTAATAAGGTTTTGGGATGAGGAAAACACATGGGGACAAGCACTCTACCAGCTATTCTTGTGCAAGTTACACTGTTTTTTAATTGTGTAAACTTAGTAATAGTCTAGATACTGTTCTAAACTGCTAGCAAGGATTTTTTTCATTTATTTAATGAGTTACTGAAATGCCACTTGTGTGTGTCACTGTATCTTCTGTGTGATTTTGCAGTTCTTCTGCAGCATTTAAAACAATGTTTGAACTGTGGAAACAGTTCTAATGTATTTAAAAGTGATTGTGTGCCTCAATAAATACCCCAAAACAGATTTACTCCCATACTATATTTGTTGTCATCTAATTAGAATTGTGGTAATTCTGCTGCGTATTTTTAAACACTTTAAGAAATGATTAGAAGAAGATTTGTGGCCTAGAACTAAATGAAATGTGCATTATACCTCTTAATACGTTGTAATTTAGAACAGGGCAAAGGAGTCACGGTGTTCGTACTCACTTCATTAAAAGAAAATGTGTCGTAGAGAAGGACCTAACATTCATTTATAATGCAGAGAAGTACTTTAAATGAAAGGAAAACCCACATTGAACATGCCTTCATCACTGTCATTACCCTTTAGGCCACATTTACAACAAAATCTTGAAAAAAAATCACTTTTGCTTTCATTGGTATTTGAGTTTCAACCTCGGGAGGTGCCAGAATATACTCGTACAAGTGAGATGCATAGATATAGGGTGTTGTGTCGGTGTTATATCTAGTCAAACTCACTAGGAGTCTATTCAGAGGCTCTGCATTAAAAAATGGTGAATCTTGGCTTTTGTACTTTATCCCTTTTATTTTCACAACTATGGTAATGTCATAGGGAAAAGGTTCTCTAATATAGAAAAGAGATAAAGCTGATCATTATGACTGAATGTATAGAATGATTTAATTATATACAATTTCATTCTCATCTAGATCTGTCTGCAATGGATAACTCAGTGTTTCTGGAATTACATGGACTGGAGTGAGATCTGTCACTACATTGCCATATGTATTTTCCTTGGTCCTGATTATCAAATATATATGTGTATTTCTGTGTTCAGACATCTACAGCAAGACATCCTGAAGCACACAGAGGCCCGAGATCTTCAGGTTTTTCTGAAAGTAAGAGTTTCTTAATTTTTCAACTGCTGAGGAGAAGCAAATATCTGAATACTGAGGATATATACATTACTTAATCTGAAACTCGTACTGAATTTCACTCAGTCATTTTAAATGAGTGATAGTACTTTAATTTAATTTGTTCCCTGGAAGGAAATTATGTATAGTATTTTCTAGAAAATAGCTTTCCTGCATTTTGGAATGAGAGATTTCCTTCATGAGCAAAGAAAATAGGCACACTAAGTCATGAGAGCATTTGATTCAGTTCTCTGTACATGGGCTCAATCTCATTGAACTACATGCTCTCCAGAAAGATGGGCTTGCACTGTGGTCTCTTGCTGAAGCTTGTAGAGATGTGGCACAAAGCTGAGCAAGCTGATAGTTTGATGAAATACCAATTACTGTATTACCAGCCTCACAATTTCATATTATTTCCCAGTTATAAATTATGTTTGGGTCTGGGGTTTTTTGAAGGGTAATGCATAGCTATAGCTGTAGTCATAAATAGATACAGTATCCTACTCTTCTTCACAGGGATATTTTTGTCTTTTTCTCTGGTCTTTTTTCACCTGTCAAAAAATTTTTGAGAACTAGATATCTGCATCATAGTCTGCCCTAAGGATAATAGTTTTCAAACTGGTTTGCATCCAACTTACATATTCTAAAATACGAAAAAATCTCAGCCCAATCAGCTTCCTTGAAAATGTTTGGTACACAGTCTAATGAATGTATCCACAGTATAATTGAATGTATTGTTCTGTTTTCCCTGATTTTGGACGTGTCTTAAAAATCTTGTATATCTTGATGGCATTACTGGATAGAATATGTAAAATATTGAAGAGAGAATTCATATTGCAACATGCAGTATAAACAGACTAAAGTTTTTGCATGGTATTGTTAAATTAATGAGAAAAGAATGCAAATTAATGCAGTACTAGAATATTTGCAATTTATTGAGTGACCACTGCAGAAAAAAATGAGCATACTTAACTCGTCCTCCTGTAAGTCTTAATTAATTGAAACTAGAAAAAGAAACAAAAAAACTGTAACTGTAGAGTAGTTTGGATTGGAAGGAACCTTAAACATCATCTAGTTCCAATACATCTTCCACTACACCATTGAACCTGGCCTTGAACACTTCTAGAGTGTTCCACAACTTCTCTTCAGTGCCTCACCATCCTCACAGTAAAGCTCTTCTTCATACCTAATCTAAACCTACCTTCTTTGAGTTTGAAACCATTCCCCCTTGTCCTCTCTCTACATGCCATTTAGTTCCAGATATGTGTGTGTATATGTGTATATATATATATATATATAAAATTTTATATTCCATTATAGTCAGCCTTCTCACAGTGTATGAGGAGCAACCTGGAAGGTAAAATCTTACTTTCACTTGCTTCTGTGTAGAGGAGAAGAAATATAGAAACTATTTTGAATTCCTGTTCAGATGTCAAAGTGCAGTTTTCCAAGCCTGAGCAGATGCTCTCAAGAGAATTCTGTTTAGCAGAGATTCACAGTTAATACTCCAGAGGTACAGCTTATGTCCACAGAGACTGGTTCCAGAGAGTTTTTTGCAGCACACACTGCCAGCAGCGGTAATACTGATTAGTAGATGATGAGTACACAACAGCAGCAAATTAACGCTTTTTACCTAACCATTCTTTAGGATCCTGTGTTCTGTGGTGCATCTTCCTTATCCTTCCAATACAGTAGCCATGAGGAGGAACATTACCTGTTTGTTTCCTGAGGACACTTTATTCTACTGTGTTTTGGATTTAGTAAGAATTATTCACTTGTAGTGGTACAGAACAGTTTATTCTATTTTTATTTAAGCACTTCAGAAAGATCTTCTTTTATCAATGATTTTAAAAATACACATCTATTGTTTTTCTTTAGAATCTAGCTGGATATAAAAGCCACACTTATAAACTTATGCCATGTGCTGATGTAGAAATCTTCTTTCAAAAGACTATTTTAATACCTGACTTTCTCTTAAAGCTTACTTTGTTTTGCTTAAAAATCTTCAATGAAATATTCTCCAAAAATGAGGTAAACAGTGTCCCCATGCAAGTGTGTTTAGAAAAAAACTGCCTGGAAGCAAATAATGCCAAATCTGTATTCCTAAATAAAACATAATAAAATCCATTTTAAACAGCCAGGCTCTAACAATCAGAACAAAATGAGCTATCTTTAGAAGCTTGGAACTGATTAAATTTGAGTTGTACTTTTTTTTTCCCTAGCTAATGAATGCTTTCTGTGTGTATTTGTGCAGGAGGAAGCAGTGCATGGATTTCGAGTGAGTAATTATTTAGACTACATGGAAAGCTTGGAGGAGCTCTACAGACCAATGCTGCTGAAAGACATGAAGACTATAAGAGCACAGAATACATAGATGAAGCAAACAAGCACTTTATTTTGCAGTTTTGATTAAATCCTTTAAAAGGATGCTGATTGATTGATTGATTGATCCTAAAATCTTCCAGGCTGTTGAAATGTACATACTGTAAAATAAATAAGAGGTGTTTTCATAATATAGTTTTTCAATAAGACATAACCTACTTTTGATAACCAGATTTTCCCTGACAGAATATGTGCACAGCCTCATTTTCAGTTAGCAGAAGACAGCTTCAGAAGCCACCTGTAGGATGCTGAAGTGTCTTCCTTATAAAGCTTTGAACCTGTTCTCAACTCATTGTCTCTTTGTCATCTCCTTGTAGCACCATCCTAAAGCCTTCGTATTTTGCTCAGGTCTGACAAAAGGATTTATTTTTTATATCCAGGCATAACTGCTGTTGTGCATTCATATGCATGAAAAGTCAACACATGAAAATGAAATTATCTGTTCCAACTTTGTGCATAATGTTGAGAAAATGGGATGTTCAATATATGCAATGAAAAAAGACTTGTTATTCCTGTCTTTTTTAAAAAAAATAATTTTATGTAATAAAGTATTATTAGCCTTTGTTCTGAATGAAATTAGAATCTTTAAAAATTATTATTTGTGTAAAAAAGAAAATACTATGTTTTCTCAACACATGTAGTAACTTTTTCTTTACAGAATGTCCAGAATCTCAAAATATTTTGATTAGAAATTAATGAGAAAGTAGGTGTTTTGGAAGTCCAATGGAAACCACAAATGTTGAATTTAGCTTTATCCAATATTGTTACCACATTCCTGGGAGACAAACTAAACATTACGGCAAAGTTCCTGAAAAACAACTTTTCTAGATAAAATGGATATATACATGAATTGAGCACATACTCAAATTCAAATTAGAAAACACATTAGAACCTGCAGTGAAATTTCTGAAATGATATGCAACCTAAGAGTGAACACTGACAAAGGTTTTGCCACTAACTTCTACTTCCCTGACTCTGCATTTCATGAGTTCACAAGTTTAGCTTTTTTCCTGTCTAGCAAAGATATGTTTTAAATATTTTTGCACTTCTGTGAACTATGTTAGCTCACCTACATGAATAAAAGAGGCTGGCAAGTATGAGGAGGGAATTATGATGAGAACTGATAGAACCAAGTGTTTGCCTGACACTGAGGCCAGTGAATGTTGTGACTCTCATGATACTCATTCTTTTAACCTTAATAGCAATTTCTCTTTTCTTAAATAACCCTATTTTGGCATATATCTCAAGCCAAGAAACAACAAATAACAAACATCCTGGTGGTGAATAACACTCGAAGACTAACATATACATGTTTCTGGACAGACCATGGTTGATTAAATATCCATTATGAAGTAAGTCATCAGTACCTTTAGCAGCAGTAGAAATTTTTCAGGACAATAGGCCCTTGTGATAGCCATATGAGTAACCCAGGGACTCTAGTCATGACTCTAGTTCTCATCTTGTATTCCTTGTCCCCCAACAAAGAAGAGAGAGGTGCTGCAAAGCTGACCCTTAATATTAACAACTTTCATCACTATTGCATCAAATTAATCCAAAGAGATCCAGTACACAATAACCAGAAAGAAAAGTCAAATATATATAGTAGAAAGCAAAGCCTCAGTACTAAGCAGTGCTACTGATAAAAGCAATTTTTGCATTTCTTTCAGCAATTCAATCAACTGCAATTTTCCCACCTATAAAACAGCTATATTTTCATACAGTCTGTATATGCTGAGATTATTAATTAGAGAACATCCATAAAACAGTGCATGAAAATTTTATGTAAATGCTAAATCTTAATACCTGATAATAATTTCAAATTCCATTGTGCTCTATGACAGAAACAGGACATTGATGCCTATTACAAGTAGACTGAAATAAAGCTTGAAGTGATGGGGAAACCAATGGCATCTTCTTTAGATCAATAACAGTCTGAAAACAAATGACCATTTTAGCAACAGATATCTGAAGACATGCTCACATGCTATATTACCTCCAGTCTGAAGACTCCCTTATCCAGATTTGCTGGTTTATATATAAGTTTCTCCAGTCAGTTCCCTATTTTCTGTCAAGGAGCTATTCTGCTGAGATGTAGACAGTTTCTATCTCAAAATCTGTTTGTATTTTTCTGGTTTCCTCTTCCAGCTGCTTCCTCCTTGCTTTCCATCATGACTTTATTTACCTCTGTCAGGCTTTTTCTCTCTCTTATTTTCTGCTTTCTCATTGTTCCCAATCCCCAGTGACAGCCCAAGCACTAAAGGATAAGAAGTATTTCCTTGCTTGTGCCTAAAATGTGTAACTAAACTTGATTTAAAATAAACATAATGGTGCAAAACCCCAAAAACAAGACAGTAAATAAATCCCCAACTTGAGAAAACTAAGAAGCTGGTTGTTAGGAAGACAAGACCCTCCCAAATACATCGTCGGCAGTCGTGACCCAGGCTCCTACTGGAGGTAGCTGAGCACTGCTGCCTCTGCCTGTCTGTCATATCTCCCTGACCATCAGCTGGGATGTCATGCTGGATAGAAACATCTTTGTTGTCTCTTAAAGATACACAGTTTCCAAACTACCACCTCTAGTCTCTGCAGCATGAGTCAGCCTTTTGGGATAAAAACTGTTAATATCCAAAATTACTTTTTACCTCTTCATGTCTGCCTACTTGCCTCTTGCCAAATTATTTTATTTCTGGAAACTTTGAGTGTCTTTCTAAAAAAAAAAAAAATAATACAATAATGCTTGCCTTTTTTTTTATAACAATTCTGCAGGTGGAAACAGTTTCTCCATTACTATATATAGTGTTCATGCAACAAGAGAAATAGTGGCAGTGAAAGCAACTAGAAACTTTAAAACAAAACATTTTAGATGTGGTAGGGAAAAAAATAAATCAATGGTAAATAGTTGCATGCAAAATAGTTAATATGTCCAGGTCAATCACTAGGACAACAGATAAAAAGTTTCTGATTTTCCAAACCATTTTGTGTTGTCTTAAAGTACTTTTTTGCTAATCCATAGCAATTGTCCATAGATTTAAGAATAGATGGTAATATCATATATTTTGCCTTTCAAATTATAATATCTACCTATATATCACATTGGGCTAGATCTGAAGATAAAATTTTACCTAGTTGAGCAGATAAAAATCAAAAAGTTTTTTGAGATGTAACAGTGTATTTGTACCAGGAGGAGTAACTATCATTCTTTTTTCCATGAGGAAGTAATTTGGAGAACTGCAGTGTTTTTTACTGTTTCTGCAAATATGTGGACTATATTTATGACACTTCCAGCATTTTGTTTATTAACATAAGTAGACAAGAGATATGACTCTTTCAAGCTAGATTACTCAAGGTAGTTTCGAGTGATTTAAAATGACATTTCCATATACACGGATCCTGTCCTTTTAGAGTTCATTTTTATTCAAAACCTAAGCTAAAGGAGAGCAATTCTTTACATTTCAGATTGTGAATGAGGTACCAGTTTTATTAACCTAGCAAGAACAGATTCAAAAAGTTTTGTATACTCAGCAGTGTATCAGGGAAAAAACATCTTCCCTGTTCCTCTGATATGAAAACACCAGTAAATTAAAAAATCCCCACAGCTCCAGAGCATAATGTTGTTTGATTCTGTTTCCTTACAAAAAACAAAAGGCCTTAAAGCATAATATACAGAGCAGTGGTGCATAGGGAGGTTTCAACATGGTTTGAAAAATTAGTTTAGATGGTGCTAAATCAGGAACTGACACCTGACTAATATTTCATAAGGTCAGTTTCCTGTTCAGAAATAGAACAAGACATGGAGAATACATGAAATTCACTTAAAATGATGAATGAGGAAAGCAGGCTTTTTTGGAGTAGGTTTTTAAGGAAACAAACACCACAGGAATAAAAAACTCCAAGGGAAATTAACCACTTAAAAGAAATTAGTGTTTACTCTCTCAAAAGACTTTATCTGCTCTTGGTATTTTCTCTGCTATAACTCAAAGCCTGTCATGGAATCAGATGCACCCATGTTGTGGGAATTAACTCCTTTAAAATTTGACTCAGTTTTTAAAATGCTGGTTTAGTTTTAATACAGACATTCACAAGCACAACAATTCCCTCACCTCAAAGTTTTTGATAGTTTAGATATGGTAAATTTTTACTGAGTTATCCAGACTATCTAGTGCCACACAATTTTCACTTACAAGGCAAATGACAAGTGGTTTTTTTCAGATCAACCTTTTCCTGATTTGTAAAACCCACTGTTGTGAGCAATGTACTGTCACAATTCTGTCATGGATTTTCTAGGTAAAGATTTCTTTTCCAAAATAACTTATTCCCCATGTTGATTCAGCATGGTGTTTGGTTATAATGCACTTTTTCCTCTAGCTCTAAATCAACAGAGAAAAGCCTCCTGTTAGAAAATAGAAACCAAAGTTTGGAACAAATACAACTTTGGCAAGGAATTCCTTCTGAGGGAAATTATAGGCCCATGAAGCCAGTTAGACCATCTGTCTAAATCGCTTTGGAGTCATTCAGATATTTGTAGGAAATTAATTTTGTACAGAATCTGGAAGTGACAGGAAACCATGGTCTCTAGATGTCTCAAACCTTTCAGACTCCCATGAAAACTAAATTTGATGAATTTTCAGCCAAGTCACTTGGAGCCATGCAACTTTCTCCCTTAGAGAAACTAATTATATCCTGAACAATTGCCTTGACCTTCAATATGCAGTAGACTTGAAACTTCCAAACCATCCTGAACTGAAGGAGTGTGAGAATATCAGTGTTTAACAGCTATTGTTCTGTTTTTAGCCTGCAACACTGCTGCAGCTACCACTCTGGCTATTCTTAGTGCCAGCTGTTTCACACAGCTATGGGCAATATCATGCAATACTAACATGCTATGTTGAGGAAAACAGGGATATTTTCCATCCTGAATCAGCTAGCTCATCCTCTGTGCTGAATAATAATGAGACAGTTT